AAAAACTATACGTTGGTAAAACTGACTTGAAAATTAGCAGGAATGAAGTAGCCACTAATTTGAAATTCAGTAGCAATTAAGGGAGAAGAAAATACTAGAATCTATACCTCATTAAAGCAGGGAAAGCATTTAATCCCTAGTGCCTAACACAGTGTTGAACGCATAGTAAATATTCATTAAGTACACAAACTGCATTCCTTATAAATAGAGATAGCATTCTGTTTTGAGTTATTTGAATTTTTTTGTCAATTTCTTAGCCCCTTTTGCCTGAATTTATAATTTTGTAACTGTATGGCAGGCAAAGAAATATGAAATATTTGAGTGATCTGCCTAAACTCTACACCACCTCCTCTGAGGAAATAGCAGCAGCAGTCTTCAACCTTCCTCACTTACAGTCTTTGTCCTTTACATAGCTCTTTGGCCTATAAATAAGCCTTTGGCCAGTTTGGCAGCTTTTTGGAATTCTAATTGACAGCACTGCTTACTGGATCAGTGTAAGTCATGTGAATTCACAACTATTATATTTTCATGTAGTACACAAAGCCTGCTCTTTAAGGACAGGCTTAGAAGTCTTATATACCCCCTTTCATGGGGTCTCAAAGAAATAAATGTTTTCCTTGATTTGAGATGGAGCTATGATTTGAAACTGCCTAAATATCCAATACCACTATTCAGTCTTTTTTTGTTGTTTGCAGTAAAAAACATGGCCAAATACTGCTAGGCTGTGGTGCATAGGGTGTCTTTCTACTAGTTCATTCATTCTCTACCTTGGAGAGGAAAAGAAAACTCTTGGTCTATAATGAAGGGATTGTCATATCACTTATTTTGCAAAGAATTTCTGTGAAAGTAGTAATAGCATGGTCCTACGTTGTCATTACAGTGCTAAATTGGTTTGATAAATCCTTTATTGGTAGTTTAAAATTATCAAAGAAACATCCAGATTTTGTTCTAACACGTGAGTATCAAGTACAAAGAAAACTTTTCTTCAATCTTTCGATTAAATAAATAAGATGTAAAATAATGGGAGAAAACGTTTTGTTTGGAGTAAACAAAACATTTATGTAAATTGCAGTATGTAGTTGTTTGGATTTATTTAATAGTTTGCTATAATAAAAAGCAGTTAAAGCTCATTATACCTTAATCCTGCTACTTTAGATGAAGAGATTGCTAATGAAAACGTTCCTTACACTGGAAATACCCCTGTTCCTCAGAAGTCCTCATTTAACTTACTGAACAGTCTTAAGTAATGCATCCTACAGCTATTATTTTCTGTGCATAAGACATAGAGCATAGTTTTTTGTTACTTATTATTAGAATTGCTTATTTTATATTGTGATACTGTGCAAAACTTACTGTGTTGGTAATAGTACTTTTGCTTTAATGTGAACCATTGGCTCTCCAATTCACTTAAACTCTGACTTCAAGAAGTGTGGAAAACAATGTGGCTTAGTGGTTAAGTGGCTTTGTAAGAGACTGTCTGTATTCTAATCCTAGCCAGCTTTGGAGAAGCAATTTAACTTCTCTAAGCTTCAGTTTCCTTATTTGTAAAAAGAAATAAATGGTTATTTTCTTCTTCATAAGGTTATAATGACTAAATGAGATAGTGGATATTCAAACTTACTGTAGTATTTAGCTAATTATTTTTATTCATTTTACAGCCTGTTTTATTTTAAAATTGACTTTTGGGTGTTTAAAAAAATTGGTATTTGTACCAAATAAAGTTAAATAGTGTATTAGAATGTGATAAGTGGTATGGTGATTAATAAGGCAGGAAAGAGAGAGAGAGTACCCAAATGGAGAGTTGACAAATGGTCAAGAAGTAGAAAGGCTTCTCTCAGAGAAAAGGGACTGAGCACTGCAGGTAGTGGAGGAATGGCATTCCAACCTGAGAAAATAACAGCAACAGTAATGATAAGGTAACACACTGCTGTGTACAGTTTAAGTACTTTACGTATTTTAGCTGATCTAATCCTTATGGCAGTCCTATGAAGAGGGTGTTTTTACTATCCCAATTTTATAGATAAGGAAACTGAAGTACAGAGAGCTAGTAAGTAGTATGGCTAAAAAAGTTGAACTCGGGCAGTTTGACTCTCATCTTCTGAGAAGTTACTTAGTTCTCAGAAGTATATTAGTTATATGTAGTATATTAGTTACGGCCTTGCAGCAAGAGACTTTCCAATGTGTTTGAGAAATAGCAAAATTGGTGTGAGTACAGCAGAATGAGTGAAGATAATGGTAGGAGCTAAGGTCTGAGTGGTGGTAATTGGGGAGGGAATGAGGTGGGAAGATTTGACTGGACGTAAGCTACTGTAAAGACGTCTTTTAAGTACGAAGTGGAGAGTGTGAGAGCCTTTGAATAGTTTTGAACAGGAGAGTGATATGATCTGACTTTTTAGAAAATATTTTTTTACTGAGTCCTTGGACCTTTCCTTTCTTGGAGTCTATGAGTAGAATGCAGGAGGGCCCCTGGAATTTAGAAAAAAATTACATCTTTATTTTCACTAAGAAACAATATTTCCTTCACTTAATAATGTAGCCAGTTGATCATAGTAATGTTAGAATTACCTGTGACTTTGTTTCCACCGTAAAAATCACCTCATTCTCGCATTTATGATCATCATTACTTTGAAATTATAGTAGTTATTAGATCCACTGCTAGATCCCATTTAATGTGATAATAAAGGAGCATTTAACATTACACTTTGTTTTTTCTATTTATAGCTCTTTTTTTACATTTATTTATCAAGATGGTTTCCTTTGTAACTATATGTGTGTGTGTGTGTGCGTGTGTGTGTGTGTGTGTGTATATATATATATTTATATAGTGTGTATTTAAAAACACTATCTGAAGCCGGGTGCGGTGCCTGTAATCCCAGCTCTTTGGGAGGCCGAGGCGGGTGGATCACGAGGTCGAGAGATCGAGACCATCATGGTCAACATAGTGAAACCCCGTCTCTACTAAAAATACAAAAAATTAGCTGGGTATGGTGGTGCGTGCCTGTAATCCCAGCTACTCAAGAGGCCGAGGCAGGAGAATTGCCTGAACCCAGGAGGCGGAGGTTGCAGTGAGCCGAGATCGCGCCGTTGCACTCCAGCCTGGGTAACAAGAGTGAAACTCCGTCTCAAAAAAAAAAAAAAAAAAACACTATCTGAGAAGGTGTCCGTTGATTATATCAGACTGCCGGAGGAGTCCATGGCACATAAAAATTAAGATTCCCTATGAGAGTTACTCTGGTTGCTGTGATTATAATAGACTGGGGAGGAAGATAGAGGGCAAGAGCAGGAGGGCTGCAAGTTAGGAGTTTTTTGCAGTTATCTAGTTGAGAGATAATGGCAACTTGGCCCAGAATAGTAGCAGAGGAGGCAGTGATATGTGTTTGGATTGTATGTTTCGAAGGCTGAACCAACAGGATTTGCTGACAGATTGAATATGTAATGTGAGAGAAAAAGAATCAAGGATGGCTCCAAGGTTTTTGGTCTATGGCTGCAAGGTTGGAATTGCCATTTGCTGAGATGGCGAGTGGCGTATGTTAAAGATCAAAAGCTCAGTTTTGGATTTATTATATTTATTAGACATCTCAATATGACTTTATGAATTGTTACCTCTACGTAATACACAGTCATTAGAAAGAATAAGGTGGGGCCGGGTGCGGTGGCTCAAGCCTATAATCCCAGCACTTTGGGAGGCCGAGGCGGGTGGATCATGAGGTCAAGAGATTGAGACCATCCTGGTCAACATGGTGAAACCCCGTCTCTACTAAAAATACAAAAAAAATTAGCTGGGCATGGTGGTGCGTGCCTGTAATCCCAGTTACTCAGGAGGCTGAGGCAAGAGAATTGCCTGAACCCAGGAGGCGGAGGTTGCAGTGAGCCGAGATCGTGCCATTGCACTCCAGCCTGGGTAACAAGAGTGAAACTCCGTCTCAAAAAAAAAAAAAAAGAATAAGGTGAACCTATATGTAAAACCAGCTTGAACTTATATTGTTTCTGAACATTTGAATGTTTTATAGTAAGCACACATCCCTGTAGAAACTTAAAAAATGAGAGAATATGTTTAAAAATAAAAGAATGGGGCCGGGCGCGGTGGCTCAAGCCTGTAATCCCAGCACTTTGGAAGGCCGAGGCGGGTGGATCACAAGGTCAACAGATCGAGACCATCCTGGTCAACATGGTGAAACCCCGTCTCTACTAAAAATACAAAAAATTAGCTGGGCATGGTGGCACATGCCTGTAATCCCAGCTACTCAGGAGGCTGAGGCAGGAGAATTGCTTGAACCCAGGAGGCGGAGGTTGCGGTGAGCCGAGATCGTGCCATTGCACTCCAGCCTGGGTAACAAGGGTGAAACTCCGTCTCAAAAAAAAAAAAAATAAATAAAAAAAAAAATAAAAGAATGGCCTCAGTGTGTCATAGAATAACTGTGTAGCCATGAAAAATCATGAAATAGGTCTTTATATGCCGCCATGGAATATCTCTAAGGTCTATAAACAAAGTAAACCAAAACAAGGTAAAGAACAGGATAGATAGTGTCAGAATCATCATAAATCTAACAGTGTTTGAGAAGGAAACGGTGGGTGAGCTGGAAGCCTCCTTGGCTTTTTTTTTTTTTTGCTTTTTTTTTAAGCAGTTGAATTTACCAATTTTAATCTTGTACATGTGATATTTTTTGTAATATCGTTGATTCATATAAGTGGTGAGATTGTGGGCTTTTTTATTCTTTTTACCTCTGTATTTTTATAAACCTTATTTTACAGTTTTTAAAATTATATATAATATAGGTCTATTAATTTCAAAGAAATTTTTTATGTTTTGCAATGTGAATGGTAAGTGAAGATTGAAAATAATCTACATAGTATGATTTTTATTATGAGTAAGATTTGATTTTATATCCGTATGGCTAGAAGAAAATATTAGAAGTGTATATTGAAATGTTAATAGTGGTTTTCTCTGGGTAATGGAATATGAGGTGATTTTAAAAGTATTTTCCTTTAATTTTTTGTAGACTATGAGAAGACAACGAAATGAAGTTGTAGTTGAATTAAGGAAGGTGAGTCTGATTGGGTACTTCAAGCATAATTCTAACAACATTATAGCATTATATACAAGATGCCAAATATATATAATATTTTTACGTAAAATGTGTAACCTATTATATAACTAAATTTTACTGAATTTAGATCAACTTTTTAAAGGAGAGAGTTTGACTAAATTTGACAATCTTTTGAAGTTGGAAGGATATAACTTGTTTGTTATGCAAAAACAAATATAAAGAACTTAAAGTCATTGAGATACAGTTATATTAAATAGTTCTGCTGTTAATGGGCAGTAGTAAGGCCCTGAAAAGAATTTGTTGCAAACCTCTTCAACTTTTAAGTATTATAGTTGAGAATATATTTATAAATTTGCCCCAAGTGTTTTAAGTGAAGTTGAAAAGGCCTTTGATTTTTTTGTAAGGCGTTGTTGGTTTTTCTCTGTCTTTGAACTGCCCAACTTTTGCTTTGACTTTCTTTGCTTTTAGGTGATAAAGAGGAGCTCCCAGATCATGTATAAAATGGTTTAGTACTTTTAAATAAATATTTGTGTTTGGTTCTGGCCTGAACTGTACACTGTATTTTTTAGTCAAACTTTTGTTTTTGTTTTGTTTGTTTTTACATAGTTCACGGTTCATTAAAAATGTAATATTTGGGAAATGGGACTCAAATTAGTGTTGCATGAGTGTTTAATTTGCAATTTGGTTTTTAATTTTTTACATTTAAATTTTACTTTAAAAGGCACTTCATATTTCAGTTTGTAGGCACAGGGTTGAGCTTTGTATGAAAGTATTCAGATTTTCTTTTTAGCTCATTCTTTGATTTTTTTTTTTTTAAGAATAAAAGAGATGAACATCTCTTAAAGAGAAGGAATGTACCACATGAAGATATCTGTGAAGACTCTGATATAGATGGTGATTATAGAGTGGTAAGTTATTGCTATTGTTATTCTGGTAACTTAAAAGTACCAGTGAAAGATTTCACATTGATGAAGAATTTTAAGGTGACTTTTTAACTCAGTTTTCTTTTTAACTTTTTTCCCAGCAAAATACCTCTCTAGAAGCTATTGTTCAAGTAAGTTGGATTTTTTTCCCTTTCTTCATTTGTATTTCTTGGCCTCAACAGCTAATCATTAATATATTTACATCATACATTATTTTATTTTTTATAGAATGCTTCAAGTGATAACCAAGGAATTCAATTAAGTGCAGTTCAAGCAGCTAGGTAAGTTAAATTTTGAAGACATGTTTAGATTTTATAACTTACATAGGATTTCTTTTTTGAATTTTTGCTATGTCGTAGTCCCTGTTAATCATATTTAACTTTGATGACAAACAATAGTAAATAGTCATAGATGAACTAAATTTATTTTTTTTTAACAGTTCTCTGGTTTAGAGTATTAAAATTGGTGACAGTTTTTTAAACTCACAATTTTTATTTTTAGCTCAAAGTGAAGAAGCTTTAATATACATAATGCATACAGATGCTACAGAAAGTTGATTTAACAAATAAATGCTGTAGAGTAAGAGAAAAACATTATTTATAAAGCTTTACCTTTTACTAATGAATAGGTTTAATTTTATAAAGTCAGATTCTTCAGATCCTTACCAGATATCTAATTATTCTTCTCACAATCCTCATATTGATCAAACAATAAATCCAGAATTATAGTCTTTAATATGTCAGTCGACATAGACAAGTAGATTATTAAGATTAATGACTGCATATACTCCAGTGTCTTTCCACACAGGAAATACCAAGTTGTTCTGCACATTTCTATTGTAAAATCTATGCTCTTATATTTTAAGGGAAGCGGCAGAAAAATCTATTACTGAGACCTTTGTATTAATAAATAGGTTGGGGAAGACGTGGTTGTATCATAATGCAATTTAGGTTGCTTTGTATATTTGTGAATATAAGAATAACACCGTATGTCGTATTTATCAGTAGGAAAGAGACAAGTAAGAAATTGAGCCGGGTGCGGTGGCTCAAGCCTGTAATCCCAGCACTTTGGGAGGCCGAGGCGGGTGGATCACGAGGTCAAGAGATCGAGACCATCCTGGTCAACATGGTGAAACCCCGTCTCTACTAAAAGTGCAAAAAATTAGCTGGGCATGGTGGCACGTGCCTGTAATCCCAGCTACTCAGGAGGCTGAGGCAGGAGAATTGCCTGAGTCCAGGAGGCGGAGGTTGCGGTGAGCCAAGATCGCGCCATTGCACTCCAGCCTGGGTAACAAGGGCAAAACTCAGTCTCAAAAAAAAAAAAAGAAATTGATCCTAGTTACAGAATTTCAAAGTGGAAAAAGTTTATAGGTACATCCGGTACCATATCCAGTGCATGAATCTGTTTTATATTTATTAGACTTTTCCAGTGTTTGTTTATCCACCTTATATAACTTATAATTGACAGGGAAATTATAAAATTGTACAATATTGTGTACGAGAGGTGAAAGAACTTCTTAGAGAGGAATTCATTATGTAGGCAGAAAAATCACAGAACCATTCACATGTCAAAACGGCAAATTAATGTTTATAGGAAGAATGATTAAGAAATTTATTATGCTCACCATTAGAGTTGAATATTTGATAGTTTGGGGGCAGTTCTTCTCAATATGCATTCTGCAAGAAAATTAAAGCCCAGTGTACCCTAAGAGGTTTTCAAAGAATGATCTGTGGATCACTGGGAGATTCCGAGACAATTTCATGGGTATGCAAGAACAAACTGATTTGCACAATAATTTTAAGACTTTATTTGTGTTTTTTTCACTATGTTAACATTTACATTGATACTGCAAAGCAACTGTGAGTAAAATTGTAGACTCCTTAGTACAAATCAAGACAGTGGCACCAAACTGGTTTTATATTTTGTAGAAATTGTATTCCTCACCATTATGTAAAGAATAAAAGTGATTTCTCTTTTTAAATAGTCAATGAAATGTAAAAAAAATTTTCTCTAATTAAATTTTGATCCTTTATCTCAAGAAACCTTGTTTGAGAAGGCTGGGTTAAGACTCTGTGTGTTTTGTTTTGTTTTTAATTTCCGCTTACACTAAGCACTGTGTCATGTGTTATGGAAATGGCATGTGGTATAATTCTTTCTCTTTAAGAACTTTATAAGTTAATTGGAAAGGCAAACTGTATTTTAAAATATAGGCGGCTGGATGCGGTGGCTTATGCCTGTAATCCCAGCAATTTGGGTGGCTGAGATGGGGGGATCACTTGAGGTCAGGAATTTGAGACCAGCCTGGCCAGGATGGTGAAATCCCCATCTCTACTAAAAATAAAAACTGGTGGGCATGGTGGCTCATGCCTGTAATCCCAGCTACCTAGGAGGCTGAGGTAGGAAAATTGCTTGAACCTGGGAAGTGGAGGTTGCAGTGAGCCAAAGTGGCACCACTGCAGTACAACCTGGATGACAGATTGAGACCCTGTCTAAAAAAAAAATAGTGATAACAGCAAAGGTAGGACTATGCTGTACAAATCCTCTGCAAATTCAAAGATGGTATTATGTAAAACATAGAACTTAAAATGGACTTTGAACAGAATTTGAATACATAGAACACAGGGCATTTCAGGTGAGGGGTGTAGGATATGAAGGGCCTGGAAAGAAAATTGAAATCATGTGACAGACAACTGACCTATTGTTGAGTTACAGGGAATAAGATTAGTTAGGTAAGATGGAGCCAACTTGTGAAGCATTTAAAGCTGGATCAAAGAGTTTACATTGATAAAGGTAGTAAATAAGCAGCCATCAAATAGTTTATATAGGAAGATGATTTGGTTAAGCTTTCTTAAACATTGCTTTTATATAGTAATGCAGGATGTTCCACAGGGTAAAGAGATGATTAGGCCACACTGAGGACTTACCAGCTAAACCTGTAGTCTCCCACATGTGAAAATAGGCACTAGATTTTGTTTGGTTTTTATCTTGTAAGCTCCATGAGAGCAGTGATGTGTCTGTCTTTTTTACCTCAGTATCTCTAGCATCTCTCTGGTTGTTTTCCTGTCCGTTGCTGTGCTTATTCCAGTTCTCTTTAGTTACTGAGATGAAATGTTGTTGGACTCTTATGACCTTTAATTTGGTGTGTAAAGTAAAATGAAGAATTGGGCACTAATATTAGCTATAAACATATTCCAGCAGCCTACCTGCTTTTGTCATTTGACTCTATTGTGACCTAGTATGAATAATTTTGGATATTTTGGTGACCTCTTAACTCCTTTCTTAGCAAGGTAAATGATGTGTTGAAGAAATCCGCCCATTTTTCTGTGAACTCAATATTATATCCAAAAGTAACATTTTTTAAAAATAGTTTTCGGCCGGGCACGGTGGCTCAAGCCTGTAATCCCAGCACTTTGGGAGGCCGAGGTGGGTGGATCACAAGGTTGAGAGATCAAGACCATCCTGGTCAACATGGTGAAACCCTGTCTCTACTAAAGATACAAAAAATTAGCTGGGCATGGTGGCGCGTGCCTGTAATCCCAGCTACTCAGGAGGCTGAGGCAGGAGAATTGCTTGAACCCAGGAGGCGGAGGTTGCGGTGAGCTGAGATCGTGCCATTGCACTCCAGCCTGGGTAACAAGAGCAAAACTCCGTCTCAAAAAAAAAAAAAAAAAAAAAAAAAAGTTTTCTTTTTTAAGTCACAATCAGGACTTTACTGAGGGAATAATATTATTGTACCATTAAAAGTAGCAAAGTGGCTGGGCTCCGTGGCTCATGCCTGTAATCCTAGCACTTTGGGAGGCCAAGACAGGGATCACGTGAGGTCAAGAGTTCAAGACCATCCCGGCCAACATAATGAAACTACGTCTCTACTAAAATTACAAAAAGAGCTGGGCATGGTGGTGCATGCCTGTGATCCCAGCTACTTGGGAGGCTGAGGCAGGAGAATTGCTGGAACCCAGGAAGTGGAGGTTGCAGTGAGTCCAGATTGCACTACTGCACTCTAGCCTGGGCAACAGAGTGAGACTCTGTCTCAAAAAAAAAAAAAAGGTAATAAAATAATTCATGTCTCTATTTTATTTTTTTAATTATTTATCATTTTTGTACATTTAATTTTTAATTTTTAAAATAAATTTAGAGAAAAGGTTCCGTTAGGTGGCTCAAGCCTATAATCCCAGCACTTTGGGAGGCCGAGGCAGGCGGATCACAAGGTCAAGAGATCGAGACCATCCTGGCCAACATGGTGAAACCCCGTCTCTACTAAAAATACAAAAAATTAGCTGGGTGTGGTGGCATGCGCCTGTAGTCCCAGCTACTCAGGAGGCTGAGGCAGGAGAATTGCTTGAACCCAGGAGGCGGAGGTTGCCGTGAGCCAAGATTGTGCCACTGCATTCCAGCCTAGCGCCTGGCAACAGAGTGAGACTTTGTCTCAAAAAAAAAAATAAATTGTTAATATAATTTCAGAAAGGACACGTGTACCAGATATTCAGATTTATGTTTATATTTTTCAAATATGAATTTAAATTTAATCATAATGTTGTATTTTATTAAGTTTCAAACAAGGGTGTTTTTATCTCTTATAGGAAGCTTTTGTCCAGTGATCGAAATCCACCAATCGATGACTTAATAAAATCTGGAATATTGCCCATTTTAGTCCATTGTCTTGAAAGAGATGACAAGTGAGTATTTTATTTTAAATTTAGAATGTATCCTTTGGAGAAAATAAGACTTTCTAGTAATTAGTTTGATCTTTAAAGAAAAGTGCTATGGGGTAAAGTTGAAAAGTCAAAGTGAAAAGCAGTGCAAGGTTTGTTAATACCATGAGATGAAGGTAATACCCCAAAAGTAACTTGAGAATGATAAATTTAACTTTTAAGCTTTGAAAATTGGCAAGAACTAGTTTAACCAGATAGGTACTTGAGAAAACTGTTTGGGGAGTAGTGTGCAAGTATCTTTAAAAAGATTTCTTAACTAAAAATAAGGATACCGGAGGAGGTTGCAGGCTTTTTATACTGAAGAGATGTTTTAAACAGTTGTTGAGGGTTAAAAAAATGCTGGATAGTTATCTTTTGAAACAAAATATTTAATGCATTTTAAATGGCAGAGGGGAAGAATGGTTAGTAGATATTTGGCCTAATGTAAAAAATCCCTGCTATTTAAAAATACTTGTTTTTTGTAGTCCTTCTTTACAGTTTGAAGCTGCATGGGCTTTGACAAACATTGCATCTGGAACTTCTGAACAAACTCAAGCAGTAGTTCAGTCCAGTAAGTCGGTTATTAATTATAATTTTTTTTAAAAGTCAGTAAAAAATAGTGATTTTCCCAAAAGACCATGGCAATTTAAATTATAAAATAATAGCTACTAAGTAGTTATTGAAATAGGTCAACTTAAGTATATTACTTTAATCTTCTTATTCTGGTTAACTCACATTTTGTATTTCCAAAAATTCACTATATTCCTTTATAAATATGAGACTGTTTCCTAGTTATAGTAGAAGATTACATTGTTGTTACACTTTATTTATAGGGCATCAGTAGAAGTAAAGGAGTTTTTCCTTATGCCACATTGCCTCTCTGCCTTTCTTTTTTTGTTGTTGTTTTTCTTTTTCAGACAAGATCTTACTCTTTTGCCCAGGCTGGAATGCAGTGGCACTATCTTGGCTCACTGTAGCCTCAACCTCCCGGGCTCAAGAGATCCTTCCACATCAGCCTACCAAGTAGCTGGGACTACAGGCATGTGTCACTGTGCCCAGCTAATTTTTGTGTTTTTTGTAGAGATGGGGTTTTCGACATGTTGCCCAGGCTGATCTCTGACTCTGGGCTCAAGTGATCAACCTTCATTGGCCTCCCAATGTACTGGGATTATAGGCATGAAGCCACCACATCGGCTTCAGCCTCTCTTAATGAGATTTTTATCATATATTTTAAAGAAATCTTCTATAAAGTAGTCCTGATTGAAAGAATGGCTTGAATATTTTTTATTGTTATTATAACAGGATTGCTTTTTTTAAAATTTCAGGACATATAAGTGGGAAATTACTATTGGAAGTAATAAACTGAATATTGTTTTCATGAATACTATTTGATTCTTCTGCAAAACAAAGAAATTAATAATTTTAAAGGAGATACTTTTAAAATCCTCTTTAAATATGTAAGCAGTGTACTTATCCGAGCTTGTTAAAAATGTAAACACTAATTTCTACATTTTGAAGGGGAACAAAGATGTTATCTAAGTAATCTTTTTATTATAGACACTTGTGTTGTAATATTATTTTTAAAAGATAATTACCTCATATCCTATTAAAACTGGTTTTGTTTTGGGTTCAGGTGGTTTCTTTTGTGGTTTTTTGGTTTTGTATAGCTGACTGTTAGGTAAATTTTATGTTTTCATAACAATGTTTTACTCCCTCTCACACTTTTTCCATTCTGTTTTGTATGCTCTTTAAAGATTAGAAAGAGGCTTAGAATTTTTTTTTACTCTGCTAGTCTGCTTTAATATACCAAAAATAATAGATAAATGAGGCTGGGCATGGTGGCTCATGCCTGTAATTTCAGAACTTAGGGAGGCTGAGGCAGGTGGATCACTGGAGCCCAGGAGCTAGAGACCAGACTGGGCCACATGGTAAAACCCCACCTCTACAAAATGCAGGATAAAAAGTTAGTTGGGTTGATGGCATGCACCTATAGTCCCAACAACCCAGGAGTCTGAGGTAGGAGAATCACTTTAGCCTGGTGAGGTCAAGGCTGCAGTGATCTGTGATGGCAGCAGAGTGAGGCACTGTCTGAAAAACAAACAAACCCATAAGTGAATTTTTATTATCTTCCAAGCATGATTGAGCTACTATACTTAAATAGTGCTTTTTAAAGTAATATCAAAAGGAAGGAAGAAGAATCATTTGTTCAGTGCAGTATTTTGTTCAGATACAAATCTGTCTCTGTTTCCCATCCTATTGAGTAACAAAATCACTTTCTGATTTGGAAGATCTCATGTGGCCCAGGAATCCCTGGCCTGTCTGAAGACCCACATGTTGTCAACATAAATTTGTGTTCAAAAGTAACTTCAGGCTGGGTGCAGTGGCTCAACGCCTATAATCCCAGCACTTTGGGAGGCCAAGGCAGGCAGATTTCTTGAGGTCAGGAGTTTGAGACCAGGCTGGCCAATATGGTGAAACCCTGTCTGTGCTAAAAATACAAAAATTAGCCAGGCCTGGTGGCTCACACCTATAGTCCTAACTACTTGGGAGGCTGAGGCAGGAAAATTGCTAACGCCTGGGAGGCAGAGGTTGCAGTGAGCCAAGATTGCACCACTGCACTCCAGCCTAGATGACAGAGTGAGACTCCCTCTCAAAAAAAAAAAGCTACTTCAATAATGCACTTTTTTTTTTTCAAATTAGAGATAATACTTAATCTATAAGGAATTAATCTTAAAATTGAAATTAGTTCCAAGTTTAATTGTTAATGAAATTTCACAACCCTAATTCAACATTTGTGTGTATAACTTATTTTGATACTGAGTAAATAGTCGCTGGTCAAAATTTTTCCAATAATGCTCTTCCAATAAAATTCATTTAATGAGGTTATAAATATATTTTTATAAGTTCTCTTTTTTTTTTGAGGTCTCAGCAAAAAGAAAAAAATCAAGATTGATTTTTGGTTTATAGTATCTTCAACCTTAAGTATTGATACCTTTTCTTCCATTAGATGCTGTGCCACTTTTCCTGAGGCTTCTCCATTCACCTCATCAGAATGTCTGTGAGCAAGCAGTGTGGGCATTGGGAAATATCATAGGTTTGTATAAAACTTAAAATACTAATCCAAAAATTGTTACTATATACTAAGTAATAAAAATAGCTACTAGTAATCCAAAAGGGAAGTTTGCCTTCAGTACTAGTTTTTGTGAAATAACTTACAGAAATTTGAACTGTATTACTGTAAAAGCATAAAGTCATACTAAATAGAATTTTTGTTGCTTAAGATACCATTTTTTATGTAGTCAGCTCTTAATCATTTGAATAATTATGCAATATATATGCAAATTAGATCTTCTATCTCATACTAGAGTCCATTTTTTCTTCCCCTATCTCCCTTTGTGGATCAGTGGGGTCCATTTTTATTTCTCAGCTTTCTCCATCAAAGAAGTAATAAGAAAGGAGGAGGCAAAACTTAAACCAATAATTTTTCTCCATAATGACAGTTCCGAGAAGAATGTAAAGTGAAATTTTTCTCTCTTGCAGACTTTTGTACATTAGAATTTAGTAATGTATAAAATATGGTAACACTATTTTCTGTCACCATGAGTCAACAAGAGGTAACTATAGCCTTTTGACAGTCTAGTTAAATATTTAGCACCATGATTACCCTAACTTTCAGGTTCTCTCTGATAAATAATTGTAAGGAGAATAAAGACAATTCTGATATTTCAGGATTTGTTTTTTTAACTAGAGCCTAACTTAATCTAAACTCAAAAATTCAAAGAATTTTCCTCCAGTAAAGGATGGAAAAAATCTGAATTGTATTGTGCCCCAATATAGTTCAAAGACCTTGCTATTATGAGTGGGGGCTAAGGTACTGTTTGTAGAGGTCTCACTAACAAAGGGAAGGAGAATGATTCTGAAGATTATTTTTGCCAAATTATTTATTCTTGCATGGAAATAATCATTGTTGCTTTGATATTTTACCTCTTTATTGCCCTTATACAGGGCCAACATGGAAGAAGGGAATGGTTTTGAGGTGTTTTGTTGTTGTTGTTGTTTTGTTTTGTTGGTTTTTTCCCTGGGGGATTTTTTTTTATTTTATTGCATTTTAGGTTTGGGGGTACATGTGAAGAACATGCTAGATTGTTGCATAGGTACACACATGACAGTGTGATTTGCTGCCTTCCTCCCCATCACCTGTATCTGGCATTTCTCCCCATGCTATCTCTCCCCAACTCCCCACCCGCCACTGTCCCTCCCCTATTTCCCCCCAACAGACCCCAGTGTGTGAGGCTCCCCTCCCTGTGTCCATGTTTCCTCATTGTTCAACACCCGCCTATGAGTGAGAACATGTGGTGTTTGATTTTCTGTTCTTGTGTCAGTTTGCTAAGAATGATGGTTTCCAGGTTTGTCCATGTCCCTACAAAGGACACAAACTCATTATTTTTGATGGCTGCATAATATTCCATGGTGTATATGTGCCACATTTTCCCTGTCCAGTCTATCATCGATGGTGGTTATGAATTTTTAAGGGAGAATTTCTCTGTAAACCATTCTTGACATAGGGCATACTATTAGGAATGCTATTGTTTCGATATCCAGAGTCCCTCACTCTTTTGCTTTCATACCAAATGTTAGATTTGGAACTATTGTACAGCATCTTGATCTTTAAGATTTTTATTCCAGGGACATTCTGTAATTAATATATGGATGCAAAAAGAACATTTTATCTACAAATACTGTAGTGCAAGGGAAAGTGTTTAACTTATGTAACACTTGAGTATGGCTTGATATTAGAAACTACAGTGATGTTCTAGATACAGAAATTAAACTTGGCAGTTCTCTGCAACAGTAGTTCTCAAACCTTAGCATGCAATGAGAACTACATGGGGTGCTTGTTAAAACACAGAATTCCAGACCCATAGAGTTTCTGCTTCATAGAGCCCAATAATCACACTGGGAATCACTATTCTAGTACTGGTTCACCCTTTCTTTCTGACATAGTTCTCTAAGTGTGTAGAGTAATTTGTAGTTCATAACCTTGATGCTCTGATACTGGATCAAAAGTACAAATTTTACAAATATTTTCTTGATACATCTTTTATAGCATATGAAAGTTTGTTAAACTGAGAGTATCATTGAAAGAGAAATTAGCCGGGCGCGGTGGCTCAAGCCTGTAATCCCAGCACTTTGGAAGGCCGAGGCGGGTGGATCACGAGGTCGAGAGATCGAGACCATCCTGGTCAACATGGTGAAACCCCATCTCTACTAAAAGTGCAAAAAATTAGCTGGGCATGGTGGCACGTGCCTGTAATCCCAGCTACTCAGGAGGCTGAGGCAGGAGAATTGCCTGAGCCCAGGAGGCGGAGGTTGCGGTGAGCCAAGATCGCGCCATTGCACTCCAGCCTGGGTAACAAGGGCGAAACTCCGTCTAAAAAAAAAAAAAAAAAAAAAAGAAAGAGAAATTAAAGACAGCATTTTAATTAAGTAAGCAGCTTCTAAAGCTGAAACTGGGAATAATATGCAAAAGGATACCTTATCACCGTATATTGCTTCTCTTGGCTTAGAGACCTTGAATGTGAGCCCGTTTATTATTGTTTAAAACTTTTATCTAAAACTCAACAGTGTATCTGGTTAAAATACATGAAGCAGCATATTCCCAGTACTTTGTGTTTTCTGAAAATGCTTACTGTCAGTATACTGTATGGAGTTAATTAATCCTTTTTTCTGCAGGTGATGGGCCCCAATGTAGAGATTATGTCATAAGTCTTGGAGTTGTGAAACCTTTACTTTCCTTCATAAGTCCAAATATTCCTATAACATTCTTAAGAAATGTTACTTGGGTTATGGTCAACTTATGTCGCCACAAAGACCCACCACCACCAATGGAAACCATTCAGGAGGTAAACACTTTAAAAAAAAATTAAAAGAAATACCATTATATATGTTTTAATCTGTGTATGTTTTAAGATCTACATATTTCTCTCTTCAGATTCTTCCAGCCCTTTGTGTTTTAATTCATCACACAGACGTAAATGTGAGTAAATGTGTCCCATTATATATTTATATATGTATGTATTTCTAGGGCTCCCTCTGTGACACAGGGGGGGAATATTATACTAAGACATTGTGTCAGCATACTATCAGATTTTTCCATTTCAAGAGTTGTAATAGATATTTTTATATTTACTCTGTTTACCTGTATCACAATAGATAATACCAGTTAAGAAATCAGGCATAACTGTTATTTTGGTGTGGTCAATAATGTATGTGTATATATATATGTTAGTGTTGTAAAAACTCACATTGAAAGTTTTTAAAGTTGCCTGTTGGTGATTTCTCTTACTAAGGTCTTGTGTTTAATTGTTCATGTGCTTTTTATGGAAGCTCATTTTGACAGTTTGGCCAATGAGAGCACACACAAATAGTGCTATTTTTGTTTTTTTGAAAAATGAAAAAGAAAAATGTTTGTGCATGGATTTGTATTCATATACCCATACCAAACCATGGACATCAGTTGCCCTTTAATTCCATTTTTATTCTATTTCTCCAGTTACAGTGACTGGCAGTGGCTTCATTTATCAAGATAACTCTTGATTATCCAAACAACAACAAGGAAAAAAAAATCAGTGCAGGCAAGATTTTAAACATAGCAAAAATGTTTTGCTTATTTTTACTAACACAGATGGCAGAGGAAAAAGCAACTCAGGGAGTATGAATGAGGTGGAAAACTGCCCTGAGTGCTTGTAAAAGCCAGACCAGCCTTTGGTGTGTTAGAGAAACCAGGAATATAATGGGTAAGGGAAAACACATGAATGAAATGTTTAGCAACAATCAGGAACTCATGTGGTTCTTTAAAAACAGTTTGGCATGGTAACCAGCGTTGGACAAGCTGCATCATTTCTGTTTATAGGCCTATACCTTTTGGCCATAATCTAATTTAATTTTGGCCAGAATTTAATTTGTATGGAACAAATTAGAATTATACTGTATCAAGCAGTGACATAGTATATAAAAATCATTAGATGAACATGATCTCTGAGGTAGTTTTTGTTTTTAGCCCCAGATAGTTTAGGATCTTAAAAAATGTGTAGGTAATTTTTGGTTTTGTCTCCTTAATAGCCATGTTATTTGATTAAATTATAAATTTTGATGTTTTGCTTTGAAAGATTTGCAAGAGGCCAGGCGTGGTGTCTTATACCTGTAGTACCAGAACTTTAGGAGGCTGAGGCAGGATCACTTGAGCCCAGGAGTTTGAGATCAGCCTGGGCAGCATGATGAAACCGTGTCTCTATTAAAAAAAAAAAAATCCAAAAGAATTAGCCAGGCATAGTGGCGTGCACCTGTAGTCTCAACTACTCGGGTCTGAGGCAGGAGGATCACCTGAGTGTGGGAGATCAAGGCTGCAGTGAGCTGTGATCATGCCATTGCTACAGCCTGAATAACAGAGCTAGACCCTGTCTTAAAAAAAAAAAAAAAAAAGGCTGGGCACGGTGGCTCAAGCCTGTAATCCCAGCACTTTGGGAGGCCGAGGCGGGTGGATCACGAGGTCAAGAGATCGAGACCATTCTGGTCAACATGGTGAAACCTCGTCTCTACTAAAAATACAAAACATTAGCTGGGCATGGTGGCGCGTGCCTATAATCCCAACTACTCGGAAGGCTGAGGCAGGAGAATTGCCTGAACCCAGGAGGCAGAGGTTGCGGTAAGCTGAGATTGCACCGTTGCACTCCAACCTGGATAAGAAGAGCAAAACTCCGTCTCAAAAAAAAAAAAAAAAAAAAAAAAAGCCGGGTGCGGTGGCTCAAGCCTATAATCCCAGCACTTTGGGAGGCCGAGGCGGGTGGATCACGAGGTCAAGAGATCAAGACCATCCTGGTCAACATGGTGAAACCCCGTCTCTACTAAAGGTGCAAAAAATTAGCTGGGCATGGTGGCGCGTGCCTGTAATCCCAACTACTCCGGAGGCTGAGGCAGGAGAATTGCCTGAACCCAGGAGGCGGAGGTTGCGGTGAGCCGAGATTGCGCCATTGCACTCCAGCCTGGGTAACAAGAGCGAAACTCTGCCTCAAAAAAAAAAAAAAAGAAAAAAGGCTGGGCACAGTGGCTCAAGCCTGTAATCCCAGCACTTTGGGAGGCCGAGGCGGGTGGATCACGAGGTCAAGAGATCCAGACCATCCTGGTCAACATGGTGAAACCCCGTCTCTACTAAAAATACAAAACATTAGCTGGGCATGGTGGCGCAGGCCTATAATCCCAGCCACTCGGAAGGCTGAGGCAGGAGAATTACCTGAACCCAGGAGGCGGAGGTTGCGGTAAGCTGAGATTGCACCGTTGCACTCCAGCCTGGATAAGAAGAGCAAAACTCCGTCTCAAAAAAAAAAAAAAGAAAAAGAAAAAAGGCCGGGCACAGTGGCTCAAGCCTGTAATCCCAGCACTTTGGGAGGCCGAGGCGGGTGGATCACGAGGTCAAGAGATCCAGACCATCCTGGTCAACATGGTGAAACCCCGTCTCTACTAAAAATACTAAAAATTAGCTGGGCATGGTGGCGCGTGCCTGTAATCCCAGCTACTCAGGAGGCTGAGGCAGGAGAATTGCCTGAACCCAGGAGGCGGAGGTTGTGGTGAGCCGAGATCGCGCCATTGTACATCAGCCTCGGTAGCAAGAGCGAAACTCCGTCTCAAAAAAAAAAACAAAAAAAAAACGATTTGCAAGAAAGATTAACTTCAAAGTTTTATACCTTTACTGGAAAACAAGACATTTTGGTTGACTTTATTCAGAGATATATTGTGTTCTTTCCACTTACTGACTCCAATCTAGGTGAGATTGTGAACCATTTTCTTGCTTTTGATGTATCTTGAAGAATTTCTCAAGCCTGTTGACATCGTTCTTTTTAGTCACATGATAAATAATGTTACTTAATAAATAATAATGTTTAAGAAGGTTGATTTCAATTATGATTTTGATCTGAACATATTAGTGACATGTTTAGCATTGGGCCTTTAAAAAGCATGTATCTACCTTATGAGCAAATAGCTTGAAACTTTTGGCCTATGTCAACAAATTTTAGCATATGTTGATATTCCAGAAAAGAAACTCAGTTACATTTACAAATTGAAATTTTTTCTTCCCACATATGTTGATACCACTTTTGTGTGAACTCTTTTTTTTTTTTTTTTTTTCCTGGACGGAACCTTGCACTGTCATCCTGGCTGGAGTGCAGTAGCATGATCTCTGCCTCCTAAGTTCTAGCAATTCTCCTGCCTCAGCCTCCCAAGTAGCTGGGATTACAGGCGCCTGCCACTATGCCCACCTAATTTTTTTTTATTTTTTAGTAGAGATGGGGTTTCACTATGTTGGCCAGGCTGGTCTTGAACTCCTGACCTCATGATCCACCCACCTCGTTCACCCAAAGTGCTGGGATTACAGTTATGAGTCACAGCACCCGGCCTGTGTGAACTCTTTCATTTGATGTGTTTTTTTTACATTAGAAATACTCTGGCCGGGTGCGGTGGCTCAAGCCTGTAATCCCAGCACTTTGGGAGGCCAAGGCGGGTGGATCACGAGGTCGACAGATCGAGACCATCCTGGTCAACATGGTGAAACCCCGTCTCTACTAAAAATACAAAAAATTAGCTGGGCATGGTGGCGCGTGCCTGTAATCCCAGCTACTCAGGAGGCTGAGGCAGGAGAATTGCCTGAACCCAGGAGGCGGAGGTTGCGGTGAGGCGAGATCGCGCCATTGCACTGCAGCCTGGGTAACAAGAGCGAAACTCCGCCTCAAAAAAAAAAAAAAAAAAAAAAATTCTTAGAGGTTTCTTGAATTTCCTAAGAAACAATGGCAAAGCACTGTTTTCTCCTTTTCAGAGTTTTTACGTGTCCATTTTTTTTTTAATCATATTTTTTATTTTCTCTTAAGCATAACATTGATTTATAGTTTTTTGGTGGGTTTTGTTTTAAGTCAGGGTTTAAAAAAAAAAAAATGCCTAGCTAATTTTTTGTATTTTTCATAGATACTGGGTTTCACTATGTTGCCCAAGCTGGTCTCAAACTCCTGGGCTCAAGCAGTCCACCTGCCTTCGTCTCCCAAAGTGCTGGAATTACAGGCATGAGCCATCACTCCCTGCCTTGTTTATAGTTTTAAAGGTTTTACACCTCTCCAGCTTGTCTCCACACAGAGTTCATATTCCAGAAAGACTTCAGAATTAGTTTTAGGCACAATTATTATTCTTTGTCAATAATTTGTGTATTTATTTGCAGCAGTTACAGTTGTTTGTCATACTGCCCTTCGGTCATAACTTCTAATTAGGACCTAACATACTAGGAAAGATCAAACACATGGCCCGTTGTACTTAAGATACAATCATTAAAAAATGGCAGGCTACTTAGTAGAAGTTGATTACACAGGCTGCACTTTTTTTTTTCTTTTTTTTTGGGGTAAGTAGCAGCTGTAGTGAAGTATGTATTTTTTGTTTTAATTATAGATTTCACAGATTGACCTGTGATTGTTTAATAATCTACAGCTGTAGGGGACTTCCACTATTTAAGAAGTTGACTCCAGTTCTGTAAGACAAAACAAACTGATTGGAAAAAACTAAACTATTATACTATAATACAAATACTTGGGTTATTGGCTTCAGGCATATCTACATGGTACTTATATTACTAGAGAACTCCTTGAATATATTCGTGTAGTCCAGATGTTTTGAACAGCTGTGCATGTTGGATACATATAGTCTTTCCAACTCTATACATGAGCCACGATGTTTTTAGACCTATTATCCCTCAACCTTTGGGAAACAGAATGTCTTTTTCTCTTGTTTTATGTCCTGTGTAGTATGCGTGTATATCTTAGCGAATTAAGACTGGATACTAATTAAGATTGGATACTAATCTGGGATCAGAATCCTGAATATGGCTAAAATATGTACATGGAATATGTACATAAAATATGTAATGTACGTATTTTAGCCGTATTCAGGATTCTGACATTTATAGATGATGATGTTTAATACAATAACAAGCAGATTCCAATGAATTGAACTGAGAGAAAAAAGGAAGAAGATAGTAGAACAATCTTAAAATAGTTGTTTGGTCAAGAATTACTAAAATGAGAAAATATTTAAAAGTTGTTTGAATTTTTATTTTATTCATTAGATACTGGTAGATACAGTCTGGGCCCTCTCTTACCTTACTGATGCTGGCAATGAACAAATACAGATGGTAATAGACTCTGGAATAGTTCCTCATTTGGTTCCTCTTCTCAGCCACCAGGAAGTTAAAGTTCAGGTAAGTTTGTTCCTAGTAAAATTATAGGCATTTCTTACCACTAATTGCTTTAAGTATAATGCATATTCTTGCATAACAACAAATCTGTGATTGAAAGAGTGAGTTATTTTACCATCATTTTAAAGAGGAAAATAAATAATAAGACTCCATTGTAGATTACTGATTTTTTTCTTTGAGATGGGTTCTCACTCTGTCACCCAGGCTGGAATGTGGGGGCATGATCTCAACTCACAACCTCCACTTCCCAGGTTCAAGCTGTTCTCCCACCTCAGCCTCCTGAGTGGGTGGGATTACAGGCACACACCATCATGCCCAACTAATTTTTTTTCTGTTTTTGATAGTCAGGGTTATGCCATGTTGGCCAAGCTGTTCTTGAACTCCTGTCCTCAAATGATCTACCCACCCCAGAGTCCCAAAGTGTTGGGATGATAGGTGTGAACTACCATGCCCGGCCTGATTACTGATTTTTAATGTAGACCAGGGAAATTCATTATAGCAGCGTGCATGGCATCTGAAACAAGTATTGACAGGCACTTAGTTTTCCTACTCCTTTTTGTTCTTCCTCTTTGACTTCCCTACTTTTTTTTCCCCCCTTGCCAGCCATCCTTTTTTTACTCACCTGACAACTTTAGTTAACTCTTAGCTTCATTGGTGCTGAAATAAAGGCACTGTACTGAAATGTACTGTTTAGGGGCTTTCTAAATTGTTCCTTTTCAGTTATTTAAATTTATTTTTTATTGTTTAAGTTATCACATAATATTTATCCCAAAGAACTAGAATCTAGAAAGAGCCAAAAAACAGAGTGAGAAAAGTTATAAGAGATATAAGCAGTAGCTGTCAAGCTACAGTGCTAATGGGGGAGATGCAGCAAGCTCCCCCTACCTTTCTGAGGTAAATAGTATATTTTAATCTGCTGATGGCTTAGAATCTGTAAAATACAATAATCACATAAGAAAAATTGTCACCTGTAGCCTAAGTCATTATGCCTGAACATCAAAATCAACTGTGTGGAGCTTAAAGAATATGTTTTTAATTTCTCTTGCTCAACTCCTGGAGATTCTGTTTCATTTGGGATTTTTCTTAGAAACTTGAGCTTTAAAACATTCTTAGGGTGATACTGATACATAGATTAGAGACCCTAGCACCTTAAAATCAAAGCACTTTAAAGGAAGAACATGTAGCTAAAATCAGAAAGAATTAATACAATAATTTGGCCAGGCACGGTGGCTCACACCTGTCATCCCAGCACTTTGGGAGGCCAAGGTGGGCGGATCACGAGGTCAGGATATCAAGATCATCCTGACCAATATGGTAAAACCCCATCTCTACTGAAATAAAAAAAAAAAAATTAGCCGAGCATGGTGGCACGCACCTGTAGTCCCAGCTACTTGGGGGGCTGAGGCAGGGGAATCGCTTGAATCAGGGAGGCGGAGGTTGCAGGGAGCCGAGATTGCACCACTGCACTCCAGCCTGGCAACAAAGCAAGACTCCATCTCAAAAAAAAAAGAATGAATATATTAACTTGTCATTTAAGGTCATTTATGACTTACCTTAAATATTCTTGCCATATGTTTATTCTTAGGTTTATTTTGTGTGGTACTTATGTCTTGGAACAGATTTTGGTTTGTGTTTTGTTCTTGTTTTTCTACAATGTATCTTCAGTTTTCATGCTGGACTTCATTAAGAATATAGGGCTTGGAATTTACCTTTATCCAATGCTCAAGGAAATCCTCTACTCTGCCTGACACCTTACAGGGATTTTCTTAACACCTTTCAACTTTCCTGCCATAATTTCGTAAAATAAAATAGTGTAATGGAACCCCATGTAGCTTTTTTCTTTGTACCTCTACTCACTCCCCCAAATTATTTTGATACAAATTCCAGGTATCATTTTACGTGGCTTGCATCTCTAAAATTTAAGCCTATTTTTTAACATAACCACAATACCATTAGTACCCTTTTTAAAACCTTAGTTTTAAATATTCAGTTGATATCTGGATTTTATTTACTGCTTCATTATTTTTTCACAATTTTACCAAGTCAATACCCAGACAAAGACCGCCTATTGCATCTGCTTACTATGTATTTTAAGCCTCTGCTACTGTGCAACTTTCTTCTCCTTTATCTTTCCTATTTTCAATGGATTTGTTAAAGAAGCTGGGTTACTACAAAACATTTTTGGAAGACATTAAAGAAGACCTAAATAAACGGTAAAACAGTTCATGTTCATGGATTGTCTAATACTGTTAGGATGACCAACAGAGTTTGAGGACTTCTCATTTTCAAAATACTACAGAGCTATAGTAAATAAAATTTTGTGATACTGGCATAAATATAGACATACAGATCCATGAAATAGAATCAAGAGTTCAGAAATAAACCTATACAATTTTCTTTTTTTTTTTTTTTTTGAGACAGAGTTTCGCTCTTGTTGCCCAGGCTGGAGTGCAATGGCGCGATCTCGGCTCACCGCAACCTCCGCCTCCTGGGCTCAGGCAATTCTCCTGCCTCAGCCTCCTGAGTAGCTGGGATTACAGGCACGTGCCACCGTGCCCAGCTAATTTTTTGCACTTTTAGTAGAGACGGGGTTTCACCATGTTGACCAGGATGGTCTCGATCTCTCGACCTCGTGATCCACCCGCCTCGGCCTCCCAAAGTGCTGGGATTACAGGCTTGAGCCACCGCGCCCGGCTGATTTTCAATAAGGATGCCAAACCAATTCATTGGGGAAAGAAAAACTTTTTCAACAAATGGGCAAGAATAACTGGATATCCACAAGTAAAATAATGAAGTTGAACCCTTACATCGTACTATATGCAAAAACTCAGAATGGATCAAACACCTACATGTAAAATCTAAAAATGTAAACCTGTTAGAAGAAAATACAGGCATAAATTTTTATGACCTTAGATTGGACAGTAGTTTCTAAGATGTGACACCATGAGCAACCAAAGAAAAATAATTGATAAATCAGGCTTCACAAAAATTAAAAACTTGTGCTTCAAAGAACACCATCAAGAAAGTGAAAAGACAACCCACAGAATAGAAGAGAGTAGGTATTGGCAAATTAGGTATCAGCAAAGGGACTTACATCTAAAGTATTTAATATGCAAAGAACTGTTACAACTTGAAAATAGACAACTCTGTTTTTAAAAATGGGCAAAATATTTGAATAAACAGGTTTCTAAAGAAGATAAGAAGCACATGAAAAGAAGCTCAACATTAGTCACTAAGGAAATGCAAATTAAAGCCACAGAGATACTACTTCACACCCACCAGGGTGGCTATAGTTAGGAAGACAATAACCAACTTTTGGTGAGGGTGTGAGAAATTGGACTTCTTACATACTGCTGGTGAGAATATAAAATGGTACAGTTGCTTTGAAATAGTTTGGCAGTGCCTGAAAAAGTTAAACATAAGGTTACAATATGAACTGGCAATTAATTACTCTCAGGTACATACACAAGAGAAATGAAAATGCATATCCACACAAAAACTTGTACACAAACATTCACAGCAGCATTATTTATAATAGCCAAGAAATGAAAACAGTCTAAATGTCTGTCAGCTAATGAATGGTTAAATAAAATATGATGTGTTCACACAGTGAAATATTATTTGGTCGTGAAAAGGAGTAAACTACTGATGCATGATGTAACATGAACTTTGACAACATTATGCAAAATGAAGGAAGCTAGACACAAAAGACCAAATACGGTTAATTTTGTTAATATGAAGTATCCAAGATAGCCAAAATCTTAGAGACAGGCGTAGTGTCTTCCAGGGACCTAGGGATGAAGGCAGTGTGGGAGTGACCACTAATGGATACGGTTGTTCTTTTTGAGGTGATCAAAGTGTTCTGGAATTAGATACTAGTAATAGTTACACAATTCTGAATATATTGAGAACTACTGAATTGTACACTTTAAATGGTAAATTTTACATTAATTATATCTCAATTTTTTCAAAAACCTGGATCATTCATCCTGTAGAAAGGAAAATCAGAGGAGTAAAATAAGTTTTACTTAAGAGAAAATTACCTCATGCAACCACAGAAAAATACTGATAATTCAAATTCATACCATATTTAAATCTCATGTTAGGTGTCTGCTTTCCTTCAGAAAGGCACTGTTTTTTTTGTCTTTTTGTTTTTGACAGGTTCCTACTCTGTTGTCCAGGCTGGAGTGCAGTGATGTAATCACAGCTCACTTCAGCCTGGACCTCCCAGGCTCAAGCAGTACCCCCACCTCAGTCTCCCAAGTAGCTAGGACTACAGGCTCCTGCCACTACTTGGCTAATTTTTTGTAGAGACAGGGTTTTGTCATGTTGCCAAGGCTGGTGTCAAACTCCTGGGCTTAAGTGTTCCACTCACCTCGGCCCTCCAAAGTGCTGGAATTACAGGCATGAGCCACTGTACCTAGCTGTTTTTATTTTTTCAACACTAAATCTGAAGTTCTGTCTTATTTTTTTATGGCACCGTCTAAAATTATCCTTCTTAATTGTTTATTGACTCTCTTCTCTTACAATAATACAGGCTCTGTAAGAGCTGGAACATGTGTCCATCTTCACATCTCTGTTCCTGCATCAGTGCCTGACACTAAGTACTCAAAAAGAATAGCTTTGTTGGAGCTGGGTGCAGTGGTTCACGCCTGTAATTCCAGTATTTTGGGAGGCCAAGGCAGGCAGATCACCTAAAGTCAGGAGTTTGACTAGCCTGGCCAACATGGCAAAACCCATCTCTTATTAAAAATAAAAGAATTAGCCAGGCATAGTGGAATGCACTTATAATCCCAGCTCCTCAGGAGGCTGAGGCAGGAGAATCGTTTGAACCCGGAAGGTGGAGGTTGCAGTGAGGCAAGGTCGACCACTGTTCTCCAGCCTAGGCGACAGAGTGACACCCTGTCTCAAAAAAGAATAGGTTTGTTGGAAGAAAGAATGAGTGAATGAATGCATTTATCTTTTATAAGGTGCTAACATACCTTTTAATAAGGAGTATTTCAGCTAGGCATAATGGTTCATGCCTATAATCCCAGCACTTTGGGAGGCCGAGGCAGACAGATCACTTGAGCCTAGGAGTTCAAGGCCAGCCTGGACAACTTGGTGAAACTCTGTCTCTACAAAAAATACAAAAATTAGCCGAGCAGGTTCGTGCACTGCTATAGTCCCAGCTACTCTGGAGGCTTGGGTGGGAGGATCACTTGAGCCTGAGAGGCAGAGGTACAGTGAGCTGACACTGCACCACTGGACTCCACCCTAGGTGACAGAGCAAGACCCTGTGTCAAAAATACATATATATGTATTTCACATAGAACGTCATCTCATTGTGTGTTTCAGACTGCTGCACTTAGAGCTGTGGGCAACATTGTTACTGGAACTGATGAGCAAACACAAGTAGTTTTGAACTGTGATGCTCTTTCACACTTCCCAGCACTCCTGACACATCCCAAAGAGAAAATTAATAAAGTAAGTACTATTAAATACTACTTAATAAATAGCATCTAAAATGTCAGTAGTTTTTATTTGTAAAATTAGAGTCTTAGAAGTTTCTATAATATTGCTTCTTAATACAAAATGTCATTTAGACATCAAAAGAAAATAAAAATTTTACTCTTTATAACAGGCATTAATAAATGATTTTTTCACATATAAAACCAGTTATAAAAAGTGCTATTTTGGCTCTCTTGGAAATGATGAAATAGAGATAATTGGGTGTTGAATGTTGTATGACTGGAAATTTTTAATATGTATATTAAGTAATTCTTCGAAGTTTAGTATTTAATAGGTACTTATTAGAGAGTGTGTATGCATGTGTGTGTGCTTGTAGTGGCTATGGAAAGGGGGCACTGACTGGTGATGCTGATATTGGAGTGCATCTGAGGCCGTTGTAGAAATAGCATGGGTTGTTAATTACAACATTGCCGATGATTATAACCCAAGAACAGCTCACCTAACTAGCCCTGCACCCTAAAATCTCTAACAGGTTCATTAAAGTGGTCCTGTGATCTGATCCAAAAGAGCCTAGTATATATTAGCTAATACTAAAATTTTTGAGAGTAAAACTTATTAGTTATATGTGATTATAACACTTAAGGCTACCATTATCTTGTCAAATGTAGTACAACTTTGATGTAAAGGGCAAAATAAAAAGATCATTGATTAGGCCAATAAAGCAATCAGACTTCTGGTTTCACGTTTCCTTGAGAGAAATGGTGCAGTGAGTGACTATTACAAATGTGTATACTAAAACAATGCACTATTTTTTTATGTCTCCATTATTGTGGATAATTGATATTTATCTACTTTGGCTCAGATTCTTCATGTGAATAGAATAGAGAATAAAGCACTTTATGTGAGGGAAGGGCACTGAATCTTATTTACAGCTGTTTAGGATTTGTATTTGTGTTATGCTCATCAATTTATTATTTCATATTTGCTTGTTCAAATTTGTTCAGCCAAGCTTGTTTTGAGTTACACTGTTTGGGAGCATTACTATCAAGAATTCTTTAAAAGGGTTAGTTCATTTTAACTTGAATTAGGTCCATTAGCTATTTGTCCAAAGAAAATATGGAAAGGGGTGTAAAGAGATGGGGATTCCTAAGATTTTTATCATGGAGCTCATTTTACAATAAAATCACTGGGGCAGTGTAGTGAATGCTTTTTTTCTTAGTTCAGTTGCAGATTTTATTTTTTAATGAGAAATATTAAAAGGGTCTTCTTCTACAGGAAGCAGTGTGGTTCCTCTCTAACATCACTGCGGGAAATCAGCAGCAGGTACAGGCAGTAATTGATGCCAATCTTGTACCAATGATAATACACCTTTTGGATAAGGTAAGAAAATCATGTTGTGTGTATTACTTATCTAATATAAGGGGGAAGGGATTTAAATCTAAGACATGTGAATTATACTTTTCTGTTTAATTAGAAGCTATACAGTGGCATGAATACAGTAAGGTAGTATTAATATTACAACTTTCAAACCTAGCAGTTTTTATATATAGGAAACTTTTTGGGGGGGAGGGGCAGCAAATCCCAGCCCTTTCTCAGTATCATTCTTCTGCCAAAATTGCCATTTTCCTGGGCCATACTAAAATTTCATATTGTCACTGCTGATAATAAGTGCTTACATAGTATTCTAAGCACTTTATATACATTACCTCGTTTAATGAGATTAAGCCTATGAGGTTAAAGATTATCCCTACTTGATACATGAAGAAACCCTGGTATAGACAAATAAATTGTCCAAAATCAAAAAGCAAGTAAGTGTACTATTAATTGTATGCCCTGTCATCTCTCATACTCATGTTAGCATTTGGGAAAAACAGTTTATCACAATTACAGCATGAGGCTGGGTGCAATGGCTCATGCCTGTAATCCCAGCATTCTGGGAGGCCAGAGTGAGAGGATCACTTGAGTCCAGGAGTTCAAGACTGACCCGGGCAACACAGGGGGACTCTATCTCTACAAAAAGTTTTTTGTTTGTTTGTTTGTTTTTTGTTTTTTTGTTTGTTTGTTTGTTTGTTTTGTTTTTAAAGAAATTAGCCAGGTGTGGTAGCATGCATCTGTGGTTCCAGCCACTCAGGAGGCTATAGTGGGAAGATCATTTGAACTCGGGAGGTTGAGGCTGTGGTGAACCACGGTCATGCCACTGCATTCCAGCCTGGGTGATGGAGCAAGACCTTGTCTCAAAACAAAGGAAGTAGAAGAAACAGTCACAGCATGCAAGTTCTGAACACTGATAATAATTAACGAGAAGATAAATCTGTTTCCCTGTGTTTCCTGTAAATACAGTTCAGTTTTTTAGGCAAGAATATGTCATGCACAACTCTATTTCCTAGTGGTTCACATGAGGAGATACACACTCTCTGTCTTACATGTAGTGATTGATGAGTGATCTCAGGTTTTATCAGCCTATTCCAACTGATGGTTATAAAGTTATCCATTTATCTTTCACCTATGGTGTTTAGGTAGCTATTGATGATCGTTCTTGGGATCCCTTGTTTTACTAGGAATTGCAAAATAGTGACTTTTTAATTCTGTCATAGTTTATGTATTGGCCATGATTCTTTAGGATAAAGAACTTGTTTTGTTTTTTGTTTTTTGTTTTTTTCAGACAGTCTCACTGTCACCCAGGCTGAAGTGCAGTGTCATGATCTCAGCTCAGTGCAATCTCCACCTCCCGGGTTTAGGCGATTCCCGTGCCTCAGCCTCTCAAGTAGCTGGGACTACAGGTTCACGCCACCATACCTGGCTAATTTTTGTATTTTTAGTAGAGACAAGGTTCCACCATGTTGGCCAGTCTGGTCTCCAACCCCTGACCTCAAGTGATCCACCCACCTCAGCCTTCCAAAGTGCTTGGATTACAGGTGTGAGCCGTCCACGCCTGGCCAAGAACATTTTTTTATCAGCTATTGTTTATTAATACTTTGAAATATAGTTCATTTAGGAAAGGGAAGATAAATGTTTGGTTCTTTGTCCTTACCAGTCATTTTTTAGAATGACATGTTCCCTAATAACCTTGAAAACAGACCAGAGTAGATTTTTTTTTAGTGTCATTTGGAAATTATGAAATTTTAAAATATATTTTGCAAGTTTTAATTCATTTTAGTTGTTACTCTTTTTGACACGCTGTCTGTCCCTGACCAACAGGAACCTCTTAGAGTTGGTGACTGTATCTTTTACGTCACTAATAGTTTTTGAGAACTACACCTTTTGGATATGACATGATTCCCAGGCCTGTCTTACATGTTTTCTGATCTAGAGCTAGAATTAACTATTTTTCTATGGTATCTTGATTTTGTTTTGTAGAGAATGGTATTTAAGAATCATAGTTCAGGCCGGGCGCGGTGGCTCAAGCCTGTAATCCCAGCACTTTGGGAGGCCGAGGCGGGTGGATCACGAGGTTGAGAGATCGAGACCATCCTGGTCAACATGGTGAAACCCCGTCTCTACTAAAAATACAAAAAATTAGCTGGGCATGGTGGCGCGTGCCTGTAATCCCAGCTACTCAGGAGGCTGAGGCAGGAGAATTGCCTGAACCCAGGAGGCGGGAGGTTGCGGTGAGCTGAGATCGAGCCATTGCACTCCAGCCTGGGTAACAAGAGCGAAACTCCGTCTCAAAAAAAAAAAAAAAAAAAAAAAAAAAAAAAAAAAAAAAGAATCATAGTTCAGATATAAAGATCATCATTGTTAAAGTATTGTCATTTTTTTCTAGGCCTGAGTAAACAAAAGTGATAGGCATTGTTGTAGAAACTGAAAGATGATGAGTTCAAGAACATGAGAGCTCATAAAAAATGAATCATGAGGCCGGGCGCGGTGGCTCACGCCTGTAATCCCAGCACTTTGGGAGGCCGAGGCGGGTGGATCACGAGGTCGAGAGATCGAGACCATCCTGGTCAACATGGTGAAACCCCGTCTCTACTAAAAATACAAAAAATTAGCTGGGCATGGTGGTGCGTACCTGTAATCCCAGCTACTCAGGAGGCTGAGGCAGGAGAATTGCCTGAACCCAGGAGGCGGAGGTTGCGGTGAGCAGAGATGGTGCCATTGCACTCCAGCCTGGGTAACAAGAGCGAAACTCCGTCTCAAAAAAAAAAAAAAAAGAATCATGAATGAAAAGAAGCTATCAAATATTGGATATTTAAGATAACAGGGTTTTCGCCGGGCGCGGTGGCTCAAGCCTGTAATCCCAGCACTTTGGGAGGCTGAGGCGGGTGGATCACGAGTTCGAGAGATCGAGACCATCCTGGTCAACATGGTGAAACCCCGTCTCTACTAAAAATACAAAAAATTAGCTGGGCATGGTGGCGCGTGCCTGTAATCCCAGCTACTCAGGGGACTGAGGCAGGAGAATTGCCTGAGCCCAGGAGGCGGAGGTTGCGGTGAGCCGAGATCGCGCCATTGCACTCCAGCCTGGGTAACAAGAGCGAAACTCCGTCTCAAAAAAAAAAAAAAAAAAAAAAAAAAGATAACAGGGTTTTTTATTTTTATTCCTCTGATTTTATATCTCTTTTATGCTGAAAATCTTTCATTATTTACTTTCCTTATATATTGATATGTATAGATTTGTGGATATATGTCAATATACATTATTTTTGAGTACATCATTGATGACATATATCCTAAAGACCAAAAAAACTCTTCTACTTTTCAGCATAAAACAAGAGATGCAAATATATACATATTTTTATATATGTATATCAAAATAAAGTCATATTGCCCCTGACAACATGACTACTGAATGTACTTTTAAGATTTTGTTGACTTTTTTTGTCTTTAGAATATACTTCATCGTAATGTACTTAAAAATAATGTCACTCCCTTAGTACTATATAAGAGCTTCCTTATTCCTTTTTTACTTATTCCTTGTTTTTCTTATTCCTTTCATAGCTACGTAGTACTGCATTGTACGGATGCACTATAATGTGTTAAGTTAATCTATTATTGATGACATTTGAGATGTCTTCAGTGTTTTGTTGTTAAATAGTTCTTTAAAGAATAGCTTGTGGCCTAGTGCAGAGGTTCACACCTGTAATCCCAGCACTTTGGGAGACTGAGGTGGGGAGATCATTTGAGGTCAGTAGGTCAAGACCAGCCTGGCCAACATGGTGAAACCCTGTCTGTACCAAAAAATACAAAAATTAGTCAGGTGTGGCAGTACATGCTTGTAGTCCCAGCTACTCAGGAGGCTGAGAATCACTTGAACCCTGGAGGTGGAGGTTATTAAGGAGTCAAGATTGCACCACTGCACTCCAGCCTGGGCAACAGAGCAAGACCCTGTCTCAAAAAAAGAATAGCTTGTAAGTTTTTTTAATGTCTTTGCCCGATTATATTTGGGATTACTGGATCTACAGAAAAACATATATGTAAATTTTTCTATTATAGGGCAGATTCCACCCTATAAGAATTATACCATTTTATACTCCTACCATCTGACACAAAAATATTTAGATTTTCTTATTCTGATAAATATGAGAGGAGATATCATGGATATTTTAATTTGCATTTCTTTTATTTATATGGTTTTTTAGTACATTATAAGCATTTTTTCAGGTTGTCTTAATATTTAGTAGCTGCTTATTCAGTAGATTTACTATAACCAGACAATTATGCTTATTGAGAATTGTAGTTGCTTTTTTTTGGCTGTTATGGTGCTGCTATGACAATATAAAGAAAGGTATTACTACTTTGCTTTGTATAATTTTCTGGGTAAATTCTCAAAAATGACATGAAGTTTATATATATTAATTTTTAATGACTTAAATATATTTCTTTTGTATTTGATAGGCAATGTATAACATCTTTATCATCGTTTCATTAATGATGGGTAACACTTGTGTGTGTAAAAGCTTTGTGTTAAAAGAACTTATTATTTTATTTGACTCTTTGTAGTGAAATTGTAGGTTTATTTTTCAGACGAAGTCTTGAATTGTCGCCCCAGCTGGATGGCATGATCTCAGCTCACTGCAACCTGCCTCCACCCTGAGGTTTAAGGGATTCTCCTGCCTCAGCCTCCCAAGTAGCTGGGATTACAGGTGCCTGCCACCGCACCCAGCTAATTTTGTATTTTCAGTAGAGATGGGGTTTCACCATGTTGACCATTCTAGTCTTAAACTTCGTGTCCACCCTCCTTTGCCTCCCAAAGTGCTGGAATTACAGGCATGAGCCACCCCTCCTGGCCAAAATTGTAGATTTTTTTTACTTTTTCTCTACTATTTTTATTTCATTTTATCATCAATTTCATTTAATTTGATATTATTAAATAGTAATATCAACTCAGTTTGTTTCCAGGAGAGTTCACAGAAAGGAGTCTCCATGTATTTAGGGTAGATTGAGTATAGTTCAAAGAATTGTCTTAATAAGAAAAAATGATATATATAGAAAGGCTAAAAGGAGACCTTGGGCAATAAGCAGTTGAAAAATCATCACAGCAAACATTTTTTCAGTTTACTCTATGTTGCAATTTTTATAACCATTTGCTTTGCTTTTTTACAGGGGGATTTTGGCACTCAGAAAGAAGCCGCTTGGGCCATAAGTAACTTAACAATTAGTGGAAGGAAAGATCAAGTAAGTTGAGCTTTTTAACATTTATTTCTCAAAACTGGTAAAATGAAAGTACATATAATTTTGATTTAGACTTGAGTAAGTTATAATTTAAAATAATAGCAACACTTTGGGAGGCCAAGGTTGGAGGATCACTTGAGGCCAGGAATTTGTGACTGGCCTGGGCAATACAGTGAGACCCCATCTCTATCAAAAAATAAAATAATATTGGGCGCGGTGGCTCAAGCCTGTAATCCCAGCACTTTGGGAGACCGAGGCGGGTGGATCACGAGGTCAAGAGATCGAGACCATCCTGGTCAACAAGGTGAAACCCCGTCTCTACTAAAAATACAAAAAGTTAGCTGGGCATGGTGGTGCGTGCCTGTAATCCCAGCTACTCAGGTGGCTGAGACAGGAGAATTGCCTGAACCCAGGAGGCGGAGGTTGCGGTGAGCCGAGATCGCGCCATTGCACTCCAGCCTGGGTAACAAGAGCAAAACTCCGTCTCAAAAAATAAAATAAAATAATAGCAAGATAACAGGTACTAACTTTTATGTAACAGGTATGCAACTTTTTCACATAGAAGTAATACCTTGACTTTCTTTAGTCATCCTTCCTAGAAGAGAAGTGTTCTTTTTCCAATTTGTTGGCCTACAAGAATTTTTTAATCCATGGTAAAATTGAGGTCCCTATAGTCAGGAGTTTTTTGTTTTGTTTTTTTAACCGTATTAGGAATGAACAGACAATTCTTAAGTTCATATGGAGGAAAGAAACTGCATCACAGATTCTCCTGACAAATGAACAACAACAAAAATAAGTAAAAAGGGACCAGGCACAGTGGCTCACACCTGTAGTCCCAGCACTTTGGGAGGCCGAATTCGGCAGGTCGTGAAATCAGGAGACAGAGACCATCCTGGCCAATATGGTGAAATCCCATCTCAACTGGAAATACAAAAATTAGCTGGGTGTGGTGGCACGCACCTGTAGTCCTAGCTACTCCGGAGGCTGAGGCAGGAGAATCACTTGAAACTGGCAGGCAGAGGTTGCAGTGAACCAAGATGGCGCCATTGCACTCCAGCATGGCAACAGAGTGAGACTCCGTCTCAAAAAAAAAAAAAAGTAAAAAAAACAGCAACAATAACAAATTCATCAGCAGCAAACCAGACAAGAAATTAAACTCAACCAGATGGCTAGGACTTAAGAACTAGGGTGAGGAATGTGAGATGCCTAGGAAAGAGGCACCCACTCTCAGGTCGTGCAGGTGACAAAGCTTAACCTTGTACCAACTGGCAAAGGAAAAATAGTTTTAAACAGCTTAGATCTGTTTCAGAGTAGGTAAAAAGAACAAATTTAGAGCTGAAGAGGAATAAATCGATAACTGTGACAAAAAAGCCTAAATACAGAGCAGAATAGAAATATTAATATGCATGGAAATAACTAATGAAATACTGAAATCATTGGAAAATATTATGAAATCAGTAGAATAGTGAATTGAGAGATAGCCAGGCATATGAGAGCCACTGGATGCTTTTACATTGAACCATTGTTTTTTGAAGCTGGTATCCAGGCTGGGTGCAGTGGCTCATGTATGTAATCCTAGCATCTTGGGAGGCCAAGGCAGGAGGATCTCTTGACCTCAGGAGTTCAAGACCAGCCCTGGGCAACATAGTGAGACCTGGACTCTATTTATTAAATAAATAAAAATAGCATACAGCCTCCATTAGCAGCCTCCTTAATTGATTTCATAATTTCTTACTCTTAAGGGAAAAAGATCTTTGAAGGAATTATTTCTTACGGCAAAGAAATGTTTAATAAGCAGTTGAGTGATTCCTTTATTTTCATTTTACATTGTTTTTTTCTTAGTTCAGGAAAAAAGATACTAAATTTAAAAGAAAAGGAGGTTAGATTAATATAGACACACTTAACATGAGAGAGATGAGGTCATATTTCTGTACTCGAAATTTCAAAATCAAAATTATTTCAGTGAGATAACATGGCACACACAGTTTACCTATATTGCATTATTTTATGTTGTTTTTATTCTTCAGGTGGCTTACCTTATCCAGCAAAATGTTATCCCACCTTTTTGCAACTTGCTGACTGTAAAAGATGCACAAGTTGTGCAAGTAGTACTCGATGGACTAAGTAATATATTAAAAATGGCTGAAGATGAGGCAGAAACCATAGGCAATCTTATAGAAGAATGTGGAGGTAAGTTTATTATAAGCTTTTATTCCGCATTGTAATGTTCTCTGTGAAATTTTTACTTTCTGAGTAATATAGCATATCTGTATTTTTCTTAGTTATTCAAGTAACAGAATAAAGTAAATATTATATTCTATATGTGCAGTCCTGCTCAGCCTCTTGCATATGCGTAGGTTACTGAATTGCTGCCATATATTGAACAGGCACTGTGATAAGTTATTGGGAAGACAGTGGTAAACAAGACATAGTCATTGCCCTCAAGGCATGTAGTCTAATCTTAATAAATATGAACTGATTTAATGTGCTAATTACCCTAATAGAAATGTACAACAAAATGGGATGCCTAATCCATTCTTGAAGAAGCAGGAAGTACACCTGAGTTGGATTTTGAGAGATGAATAAGGATTAATAAAGTAAAAAGGGATGAGAGGTGTTCCAGGCAGAGATAACACCATGAGCAAAGTCTGAGGTGAGAAATAGTGTTCAGCAAATTATAACTAGTTCAGTGTTGCTGAATCACACAGTATAGGGTAGAAACTACGAAGAGACAAAACTGGAGAAGTAACCACCCTCCTGTGAAGGCTTTTTTTTTTTTTTTTTTTTTTTGGAGACAGAGTCTCACTCTGTCGCCAGGCACCAGGCTTGAGTGCAGTGGCACAATCTTGGCTCACTGCAACCTCTGCCTCCTGGGTTCAAGCAATTCTTCCGCCTCAGCCTTCCAAGTAGCTGGGACTTACAGGCGCATGCCACCACGCCCAGCTAAATTTTGTATTTTTAGTAGAGATGGGGTTTCACCTTGTTGGCCAGGATGGTCAGATCCCTTGACCTCGTGATCCGCCTGCCTCAGCCTCCCAAAGTACTGGGATTACAGGTTTGAGCCACCGCGCCCGGCCGGCTTTTTTTTTTTTAAGACAGTCTTACTCTGTCACCCAGGCTAGAGTGCAATGGCATGATTTCAGCTCACTGCAACCTCTACCTCCCTTCTTCTGCCTCAGCCTCCTGAGTAGCTGGGTCTACAGGCTTGCACCACCACATCCAGCTAATTTTTGTGTTTTTAGTAGAGACAGGGTTTTACCATGTTGGTCAGGCTGGTCTTGAACTCCTGACCACAAGTGATCTGCCCACCTCAGCCTCCCAGAGTGCTGGGATTACAGGCGTGAGCCACTGCAGCTGACTTCCTGTGAAGTCTTAACAAGCTTTATAGAACAGCAGATACTTTATTCTTTAGGGCGGTAGTTTCCAAATATGGCCATGTATCAGAGTCTCCTGGAAGGTAAACAATTCGTATTAGCTTTCAAGTCTTAGAGTTAATGTATAGAGAGAACATGAAATGTGGCTGTGGAACAGATGTAAATGTTATCTGGATAAATGTATGTCAGGTACACTTATTTGTTGAAAGTGAATGAAAAGAGAGGTAACTGGAAAAGTAGGAGAACCTATAACTTCAACTAAGTGAGAATGTTGAGAGGCTTCAAAATTAATGTAATAAGAAATAGGTATATTTAGCCGGGCGCAGTGGCTCAAGCCTGTAATCCCAGCACTTTGGGAGGCCGAGGCGGGTGGATCACGAGGTCGAGAGATCGAGACCAACCTGGTCAACATGGTGAAACCCCGTCTCTACTAAAAATACAAAAAACTAGCTGGGCGTGGTGGCACGTGCCTGTAATCCCAGCTACTTAGGAGGCTGAGGCAGGAGAATTGCCTGAGCCCAGGAGGCGGAGGTTGCGGTGAGCCGAGATCGCGCCATTGCACTCCAGCCTGGGTAACAAGAGCGAAACTCCGTCTCAAAAAAAAAAAAGAAAAAAAAAAAGAAATAGGTATATTTAAAGTTACTAAAGTGACTGATAGAACAACAACAATAAAAAAAATCCATAACTTTCGAGTTAGGAACAAGAGATGGGGAATAGTGTTACAGAACTAATTAGGGGTGAAGTAACAGAAAAAATAACAATAGGCATACTTAATTATTTTTACTACTTGATTTTTTTAACTTGTAAAGATTTTAATTACTAAAATATTTTCATACATTCAAATAAAAATATTAAGTTCTTGAACATTACACACCTCACTAGCAGTAAGACCTAGGAATCCCCAGTGGATTGTGCCATAGGATGTGACAGGCCATTGGTGAGATTCATCTAGGGGATGGGTATGTTCAAATGGAACGTGGATATCTTGGGAATGAAGCCTTTGGAGACAGGAGACAGAAGGAGACCAGTTAGGAAAGTATATATGGCCAGGCATGCTGGCTCACGCCTGTAATCCCCAGCACTTGGGGAAGCTGAGGTAGGAAGATCTCCTGACCAGCCTGGTCAATGTGATGAAACCCTGTCTATAATAAATATACAAAAAATTAGCCAGGCATGAAGGCACACACCTGTAATCCTAGCTACTCATGAGGCTGAGGCTCGAGAATCATTTGAACCCAGGAGGCAGAGTTGTAGTGAGCCAAGATCACGCCACTGCACTCTAGCCTGGGCAACAGAGTGAGACTCTTGTCTCAAAAAAAAAAAGTATATAGTGGCTAGGCCACAACAAATGAAAGCAGTAATATTAGAGACAAAGGGGAGATGAGGAGATTTAAGAAGTGGATGGACTTTCAAGTTTTTGAGATTTGATTGTGGGATATTGAGGGAAAGGGGATCTTGGGCTTTCTCTTAGATTTCAAGCTATTGTTGATTATCACCAAGTAAGAATTGTGTTGTGGACAGTTTGAGTTTTTGGTACCCATGAAATTTCCTGGTAGAATTACACCAGGATTTGAATTTTATGCATGTGAAGCTTAGAAAAGAAATGAAGCCATAGATTTGCAAGTCCTCAGCCAATTTATAGTAGCTAAATTTTTTAATAGGAAGATCACCAAAATGAGTGTATAGGTAAGAAATGAGCCCAAGATAACTTCCTCCATTTAAGAACTGGATAGAGGAAGAATATTCATGAAGGGGCAATTTCACTTTTTTCAAAGACTTTATAATTGTTTTTCCTCTAAAACAGGATTCAATTTGCATATCAACAGGTTAAGTATATACTTTTTAATGTTTCTGCCTATAATTTAGTAAACTCATTAATGTTTACAGGGAACATTGTCTTTTCCACTGAAATATACTGTGTTAGATCTTGAACATTTTCCAGTAAACTTAAGAGGTATCTGAAGCATCATATTTATTAATCATCAGCTTTTTAAATTTTTTTTTCATATGTGTTCACTAGAAAAACTTAGCAGGTGCTGGAAAATAGGAAGATTCTGCTTTTTACTTTAACAAATGAAATTTTACGTATTGTTCCTGGTTAAAAACATTGTTTATGGGACCGGGCGCGGTGGCTCAAGCCTGTAATCCCAGCACTTTGGGAGGTCGAGGCAGGTGGATCATGAGGTCAAGAGATCAAGACCAATGTGGTCAACATGGTGAAACCCCGTCTCTACTAAAAATACAAAAAATTAGCTGGGCATGGTGGCGCGTGCCTGTAATCCCAGCTACTCAGGAGGCTGAGGCAGGAGAATTGCCTGAACCCAGGAGGCGGAGGTTGCGGTGAGCTGAGATCGCGCCATTGCACTGCAGCCTGGGTAACAAGAGCGAAACTCTGTCTCAAAAAAAAAAAAAAAAAAATTGGTTATATATTCTGATGAATAGGTAGATGTCTCATTACTTATTTATACATTTACGTGCAGTTAGACACTCAGGTTATTAATTTTAGGATAAATATGCTGTATCTTTGTACATTTTTTCATATTTAAGATTCATCTTTAAATTCCCAAAAATTATAATTCAAATAATTTACAATTCAGAAATTGGATTATGTGTTCCAAAGATTATTCTAACTTGTCACTACTATAAATATTATTGTCTTTTCACATTACAAAATTTCTTGCAGGGCTGGAGAAAATTGAACAACTTCAAAATCATGAAAATGAAGACATCTACAAATTGGCCTATGAGATCATCGACCAGTTCTTCTCTTCAGATGATGTATGTAATAATTTTGTAGTTTTCTTTGTTTTATATATAAACATAGATCTGGATGAAGTAATATGTATAGTAAGCTAGGGGCATATACATGTATGTATTTTTTGGGAATGGATTTAAATAGATGTATGACAGTAATGTCACCTGCTTTGGAAGCATGAATATTTCAATATTTTAAGATCCCTTCAGGGCATCTTAGCTCTAATGGCAAGAAGATAAGGACTTTTTTGACCAAAATAGATGAATCAGACTTTATTTTCACTTGGTATCTTTACAGTTCTTTTTTTTTAATTGTTAATAGCATACCGTATTTATAAACAAAACAGTGATGCTAGTATATTCTATAATAAGTTTTTTATGACCATAGTTAATCCACACTTGAATGAGTTGTCATTGTTATTTTTATTTCATGACCAAAAACAAATGTGAAAATAAATAAGATGGAAATAAAAAGAGAAGGCACTGTGTAATGTAAGGTATAGTATACAAAAATATCTTCAGATTGTTAGTAATAGTAATGAAAAAGTATTAACTTATTTTTAGTATTTTCTCTTTGGAAAAGTAAATCTAAAATTAAAGCAATTGCTTCTTAGAAAATTGTATAGTGGTTCAATGCAGCCACCAGAGGATTTCTTGAATGATTTCTCAACTTTTCAAAGAATGTCTTTTACTACATGCCCTTCCACATTATCGAAAAGAATGGAATGTTATTAAACATTTGTTAAGCATGTATAATTTGAACATTAACAAAGACAATACTAGAAAAGAAAATTGTAGACTATTATAGTTGTCTAAGCTTAGTACTATTTAGAGTATAATGCCAGTTAAATAAACCAGAAATAAAAATCAGAAAAGGCTTTTTTTTTTTTTTTTTTTTTTTTTAAAGATAGGGCCCAGGCTAGAGTGCAGTGGCATAGTCACAGCTCACTCAACCTCCCCCTCCTGGGCTCAGATGATCCTCCCACATCAGCCTCCAAATAGCTGGGATTATAAGTTCATGCCACTATGCCCGGATAATTTGTTAAGTCTTTTGTATAGACAAGGTCTCTCTATGTTGCCCTGGCTGATCTAGAACTCATGGAATCAAACGATCCTCCCATCTTGGACTTCCAAGCTGCTGGGATCACAGGCATGAGCCACCACGCCCAGCCTGGCATATTCTTTTAAGGGTAACTTTGATCATGTGTCTTAAAGTTGGATTTTTGAAAATCATAATTTGTAATTTGGTGACTAATTATAATCACCTTATAATTTCTAATACCTCAACATGTAGTTTTTGTTCTTGTCTTAGATTGTGAAAAGAATAATTCAGATGATATACATGTTTATAGGAAGTACACTACAGGTTTGTAATATTGTGGAATTTCAGTAAGGAAACTTCAGATGTAAAGCATATAGAATATATAATTGCTATTATTAGCAGAACTGTTATAGGTAGAGTATCTCTTATCTGAAATGCATGGGACCAGAAGAGTTTTAGATTTTGGATTTTTTTGAATTTTAGAATATTTGAATTATTTGTACCCTTTGAGCATCTGAAATTCAAAATGTTCCAATGAACATTTCCTTTGAGCATCATATTGGCACCCGAAAAGTTTCAGATTTTGGAGTTTTTTTGATTTTGGACTTTGAGATTAGGGACACTCAATCTGTATTTTACTATTTTAAGCCCAAATACCATTTGTCTCCAATTGCTATTGAAAGATATACCAAAGATTCACTTACTTTTCAAGAGCGGTGCCATTAATTTTTTTTTTTTTTTTTTTTTTTTTTTTTTGAGACGGAGTTTCGCTCTTGTTACCCAGGCTGGAGTGCAATGGCGCGATCTCGGCTCACCACAACCTCCGCCTCCTGGGTTCAGGCAATTCTTCTGCCTCAGCCTCCTGAGTAGCTGGGATTACAGGCACGCACCACCATGCCCAGCTAATTTTTTGTATTTTTAGTAGAGACGGGGTTTCACCATGTTGACCAGGTTGGTCTCGATCTCTCGACCTCGTGATCCACCCGCCTCGGCCTCCCAAAGTGCTGGGATTATAGGCTTGAGCCACCGCGCCCGGCCCATTAATTTTTTTATGCGATTGACTTTATATACTTGCCCAGGTTTTTTTGTTTTTTGTTTGAGATGTAGTTTTGCTCTGTCACCTAGACTGCAGTGCAGTGGCACAGTCTCTACTCATTGCAACCTCTGCCTTCCAGGTTCAAGCAGTTTTCCTGCCTCAACCTCCCAAGTAGCTGGGATTATAGGCACACGCTACCACGCCCAGCTAATTTTTGTATTTTAAGTAGAGACGGGGTTTTGCCCTGTTGGCCAGGCTGGCCTTCAACTCCTGACCTCAGATGATCTACCCACCTTGGCCTCCCAAAGTGCTGGGATTACAGGTATTAGCCACCATGCCTGGCTGTACTTGCCCAGGATTAAAGGAAACTAATGAGTACCAAATTGTGTATCCTCTGTTTGAGACTTAGGGGCATCATTACTGTTCCTTCATTCTTTTGGAAAATGCCCATCTTACATATACTCTTTTTTTTTTTGAGACGGAGTTTCGCTCTTGTTACCCAGGCTGGAGTGCAATGGCGCGATCTCGGCTCACCGCAACCTCTGCCTCCTGGGTTCAGGCAATTCTCCTGCCTCAGCCTCCTGAGTAGCTGGGATTACAGGCACGCGCCACCATGCCCAGCTAATTTTTTGTATTTTTAGTAGAGACGGGGTTTCACCATGTTGACCAGGATGGTCTCGATCTCTTGACCTTGTGATCCACCCGCCTCGGCCTCCCAAAGTGCTGGAATTACAGGCTTGAGCCACCGCACCCGGCCGTCACATATACTCTTAAGTTCTCATTTTGGCATTCCTTAAGAAAAGGCCTTGGGCTGGGCACAGTGGCTCACACCTGTAATCTCAACACTTTGGGAGGCCAAGACAGGCAGATTGCTTGAGCTTAGGAGTTTGAGACCAGCCTGGGTAATATGGTGAAACCCCATCTCTACAAAAAAATACAAAAATTAGCCAGGTATGGTGGAACACACCTATAGTCTCAGCCACTCAGGAGGCTGAGGTGGGAGGATCACTTGAGCTCGAGAGGTTGAGGCTGCAATGAGCCATGTTTGTGCCACTGACCTCTAGCCTGGTCAACAATGAGATGCCATCTCAAAAAATAAAGAAAAAAACGTTTTATTTAGTGTTTCAACTTTTCTTTTTTTTTTTTTTTTTTTTTTTTTTTTTTTTTTGAGACGGAGTTTCGCTCTTGTTACCCAGGCTGGAGTGCAATGGCGCGATCTCGGCTCACCGCAACCTCCGCCTCCTGTGTTCAAGCAATTCTCCTGCCTCAGCCTCCTGAGTAGCTGGGATTACAGGCACACGCCACCATGCCCAGCTAATTTTTTGTATTTTTAGTAGAGACGGGGTTTCACCATGTTGACCAGGATGGTCTCGATCTCTCGACCTCATGATCCACCCGCCTCGGCCTCCCATAGTGCTGGGATTACAGGCTTGAGCCACCGCGCCCGGCTGTGTTTCAGCTTTTCTAAAGGATTTTATTAAGTGTTTATTAAACCTTTTTTTTTTTTTCTTTTTTTTTTTCTGAGATGGAATTTCGCTCTTGTTAACCAGGCTGGAGTGCAATGGCGCGATCTCGGCTCACGGCAACCTCCGCCTCCTGGGTTCAGGCAATTCTCCTGCCTCAGCCTCCTGAGTAGCTGGGATTACAGGCATGTGCCACCGTGCTCAGCTAATTTTTTGTATTTTTAGTAGAGACGGGGTTTCACCATGTTGACCAGGATGGTCTCGATCTCTTGACCTTGTGATCCACCCGCCTTGGCCTCCCAAAGTGCTGGAATTACAGGCTTGAGCCACGGCACCCAGCCTAAACCTTTTATTAAGTGTTTCAACTTTCTAAAGTGTTGGCACTCATCATCTCTCCTGACTTTTTTTTAAGGGTAATGGGATTAGTACTATTATACTGTTTACACATACCTTAAAACTAATTATCTCATTCTTTTTCTTTTTTCACCTAGATTGATGAAGACCCTAGCCTTGTTCCAGAGGCAATTCAAGGAGGAACATTTGGTTTCAATTCATCTGCCAATGTACCAACAGAAGGGTTCCAGTTTTAGAAAGATGTTGTGGAAGTTAGGTACAATGCAGCACTAAGATATATATATATATATATCTGTCTATATATATATATACATATATATATAAAAGGTTTGATCCATCAAGCTTGGCTCATGGGATCTGCTGCTGCATTAAATCGGGAAAGAAAATGTGAAGATTTCATTTGGAATCACAGAAAATGCCCAAATGAGGTCAAGATGGCGAGTGGGTGCGAGTGAGAATGAGTGGCAAAATGTAATGAAAACTTTACATGAATGCTTATTTAGGTTGTTCAAAGTAAAAAGGGCTACAGGTCACAGATCGTCAGTGCCTGAGAAAGAACATTGACTTACTCTATATCAGTTGAGGGGAAAGTGCAGTACTGTCATCGTCAAGCCTTGTCAGCGTAAAAGAGAATAGGCTGCCCATAAAAGTCAAAGGAAAATGAGCCCAGGCCTTGCTATGAAGCAGTGTGTGAATGGACAGTATTGAGTGAATGTCTGGCTCAGTGATGGAGAGCCAGGTTCATCTTTGAAATCTAGGGCTCTTCACTCATGAAGCAGACTCCTAGTCCTGGAGTGACTGTGTACGAGAGTGTGGTTGTGGTGCTGTATGTGAACGCATGCAAGCTTGATTCACCTTCAGGGGGCTGATAACAAACCTAGTAAATCATCAGAATAATGAGATCATAAGTGTTAATGTACACTGGACATGAAAACAAAGACTGGTTTAGCAGCAGACATTAGTTTACTCTGCAGCCTGTGTTTTCTATTTCCTCCTTTCCCACCTCCTTCCCCCCACCCCACTCTTTTTTTTTTTTTTTTTAAGTTTTTATTTACTTTACCTAGTATGCCTTTTTTTTAGTTGCTTCTCAAGTCAGAAAACTTTTCAGGAAGGTTTCCCTGTGCATTTGCACCAGATGAATGTTTGATGCTATGAAAAGCTTTCCATATCATCAAAACTAATTTGTGTAGATTTTTGCATGGAAAAAATCATAAATTTCCCTCAAAATAGACTGTGTTGCAGTACACAAGTTGCCATAATAGTATAAAACAGTAAAATGTGCTTAAAAGGCCATCCTTTTCATTTTCAGAGATAACATAAAGATCTTTGCATGAGGTAAATCTACAGCATAGAGTTCATTTTTAGATTTTGTTGAGTCCTGTAAAGAAGAAGAAGAAAAAAGTTTCAGTTGTGGTAGAATACCGTGCTGTGTTTAAATGTTACTTGTTTTCAAACTTTGTTTTCTATGAAAATGATATGGAAACTTCTAAAATGGAATTTGGTGCATATGTACTGCTGAATAAAAGACCGATGAAGAGGTTTGAGTAGATGTACAAATCAAGTAATGGTTTGAACACCTTTAATAATATGCCTAATCTGTTCAATTGTTTTAGAATCTTTTTATCTTAGATGTAGGCAGCCATGAACAATCTATTTTGAGCCACTTTAGGGAGAAAACTTTGTATTTTTAAAACTTGCATAAAAGTTATGCAAGTGGTTTTTATAAATTGGAATAATACCTCAGTTTTGAGGTTATGCACACTAAATTAAATGTGACATAAATTAATTTGTACAAAAAGAACTCTTTATAAGGTGGCTCATTGTAGGAAATCCTGTGCCTTCCCCTTTGAGCACAAGTGTTGCATGAACAACAGTTTGCTATAAGAAACATACCAGATTAGCCACCATTAGCATCTATATCTACTTTGTGTTTAAAAATCAACTGGTAATTCTGAAACACTGTAGAATGGATAAAAATTATTTTGTGATCATAACTCTTTGTTGAACTAGAGTATTTTTGCAGCATTCCTTGTCATCAGAAACATGGTTAAAGTTTAAAACTAGAAGCAGCAGAAAACTAGCTTGTAAAATTTATCCAAGTAGAGTGCAGGCTAGGCTGTCTTGGGGAAATAAACATTAAAACTTAAAGCAATGTTTTACATGGGGTGTGTGTGCGTGGTGTGTGGATTTTTTTTTTTCTTTTTTTGTGTTAGAGTATAACTTAGTGGCTTACATTAGCTGTTGTCTTTTTACCTAGAACCAGCATAACAAGAAATCTCTTCAGTTCTGTCATTTCAGTATGGACATATTAATATTTTAGCCCACTGAATTTGTCCATTTGACACCGTTTGTGCTTCTGTTTTCTCCCTATCCAACCCAAGGTTTTAACTTTCCTTTATTCTCCCAGTAAAATAGACTGAGAAAACTTGAACTGTATTTTGAGTATTGCTGTATCTTCAACATAGAGCTCCAAATGATGGATTGCATACAAAGCATAGGTTTTAGAGAAGGAAGGTTTCAGTAATTGGAAGGTGAACATAGCAATGTTTCACATAATTTGTTTTTTAGTTAAAATATTAGATTCAAACTAAGGCAATGAGCTTGTATACAAATTTTATATACAAATTATTATATAGAATAGTGATGGAAAATAGGCAAGGGTGATATTAATATCTCTGGGTATAAGGACTACTTTATAGTTTAAATATTTTATTTCCACCTATAGCCTCATAAAGAACATCGATTTTTCTTTTTTTTTTTTTTGAGACGGAGTTTCGCTCTTGTTACCCAGGCTGGAGTGCAATGGCGCGATCTCGGCTCACCGCAACCTCCGCCTCCTGGGTTCAGGCAATTCTCCTGCCTCAGCCTCCTGAGTAGCTGGGATTACAGGCACGTGCCACCATGCCCAGCTAATTTTTTTTGTATTTTTAGTAGAGACGGGGTTTCACCATGTTGACCAGGATGGTCTCGATCTCTTGACCTCGTGATCCACCCGCCTCAGCCTCCCAAAGTGCTGGGATTACAGGCGTGAGCCGCCGCGCCCGGCAAGAACATTGATTTTTCTAATAGAAATTCTAGGAAGGGCTTTTCTGTCTGTGAAATTGTTTCAGTACAGTTGACAGTTCATGGTTACCTGATTTAAACACTTTTTTTTTTTAATTCTTCAGTGATCTGGGAAATTAATTCATTTTTAACAGGCTTATTTCTGATGGGAATGACGGCATAGAATAATATGCCTAATAAGCTAAATGTTCTTGATGTTTCATGTATTAAACTGTCTTTTTTAGATTGGAGACCATTTCAAGTGCTATAAAAATAAGAATATTATACTAGAGGTGTGTGAGATGCCCTAGTCTAAAATCTATCTTTAAATTCCTTTGTAATTTTCAAAGATTTCAGTAATTGTGTCTTATGGTGGAAATAATACCTTCCGCATTGCTCTGGACCAAACTTGGAGCATTTCTATAATTCAAGCTATCAATCATTAAAAATACATCTGGAAGAATTTAGGGGCGAGGGAATGGATCTTTTGGTTTAGGCTTACCTCAGCGGCACTTTATAGGGTGAGGAGTTTTTTGTTTTTTTTTTTTCTTTAAAGGTATAACTGCATTGTAAAATGACTGGGCTTATTGTAACATTAATTTATGGAGCACCCTTTTTGGATTCTCCATTGCCTCAGTTTCTTCAAGGAGTAAGTTACAGAGATCAAGCTAAATTTTGGCTTCAGAGACTAATTGCTGTATAATTGTGGTATAATTACCATAAAATTAGTGTCTTAAAACACAGCATATGTTACTTCACAGTTTCTGTTGGTCAAGAATCCAGTTATGGTCTTCTGCTCAGGGTCTCACAAAGCTGCAATAAAGGTGTCAGCCAGAGCTGCAGTCTTATCTGAAGCTAGGGGGTCCTCTTCTATGCACATATGGCAAAATCCATTGCCTAGCAACTGAAGAATTTGTGGCAACTTCAAGGCCAGGAAGAGAATCTCTGGTCTCAGAGAAGGCCTTAATCACTCTTTTAAAGGTCTCACCTGATTATATCAGGCCATCTACCCACCCAGATGATCTCCCTTTTGATTAACCCAAGCTAGACTGATGAGGTTCCTCCATTACACCTGCAAAATCCTTTCACCTTCGCCCTGCATTGTAATCCAATCACAGGTGATGGCCATCATATTCAAAGATCCTGATCACAGTCAAGAGAAAGGTTTATATGGAGTATGTATACCAGGAATCTTGGAAGCCATCTTAGAGTTCTGCCTCTGACAAGAAAATTATTTAGAACTGTAACAGTTGAGAAATGATAACCTTACATAGTGCAAGCTTATTTGGGGATCAAGGTTGCCTCTGGAACTAATGAAAACTTTGGACTGGCTTTCCCCAAAAGTGCATACACATGCAGTTTTTCCATACAGTTCAAGGGGATTCATAAGAGTCCATGAATTACAGTCTGTCCCAGCCCTCCCGTTTAGATGATAGAGTCGTTGAGGTGTTGCCCAAGCTCACACAGGTACTGAGGGCCAAATAAGGCCCACATCTCAACTCGCATACTGCCCAGAGCTTCTAATTAGTATTTTAAAAGTAATCTAAATTCATTTAAATTTGTGAAACAATGCAAAAAAAAGGTGAATGAAGCTTTTTGGATCTTTTTTTGTATACTAAGAAATGAGTTAGGGTAACATTGTTACAGAAGATTGCCTAAGAGTTTTGAAATTAGTTGACCTTGAGTATTCAAAATTGAATCTTCTATTGTAGCTATTAAAGTTAACTATAAATAGGCCAACTTTAATTAAAAGAAAATACCAATCATTAATTTCTCAGATTTGGTGGATTTACCATTTATGTATAAAATTTCAAGATTTATGATTGACTGTTTTGAAGGCCAAGATACGTGAATATCTTATACTTTTTTAAACTCCTTGATTATTTTACTGATTGGCAAAATTCATTAAATGTCAGCCAATAGTTTATATTACGGGAGGAAAAAATTTTGCCTAGACCTCTGATAAAATATTCCCAAACACTACTAGCAAATTGATGCCTAACCAACTTGGCATTTTGAACACTTAAAGAAGTTATAAGCACATTAATAAAGTGTATGTTTTTTATAATATGTATACAGTAATTTTTTAAAGTTGCTACAAGATGCCATCTAATCAATATGCACGTGATGATGATAGTGCAGTCTATTTTTTTTTTTTCCTTGAGACAGTCTTGCTCTGTGGCCCAGACTGGAGTGCAGTGGTGCAACCTCGGCTCACTGCAACCTCTGCCTCAAGGGTTCAAGCAATTCTACTGCCTCAGCCTCCTGAGTAGCCGGGATTACAGGCACATGCTACCACACCTGGCTAATTTTTGTATTTTAGGTAGAAATAGGGTTTCACCGTATTGGCCAGGCTAATCTCAAACTCCTGACCTCATGTTATCTGCCCACCGCAGCCTCCCAAAGTGCTGGGATTACAGGCGTGGGCCACTGTGCCCAACCAGTCTTAATTCTTGAAGTAGAGAAGAAAAAAATGAACATGGTAAAACCTATATTCCAGTGTGATCGGAAGCAAATCTGGACTGTAGTGTCAAATTGATAAAAACTAAACACTTAGATCATGTATAAGAAAAGTAGATTTAATATTTTTTCCCCCCTAAAGACTAGAAGTTCGAATAATTTTAAATATTCCTTCTAAATCCAGGCCCTTTAGGTGACAGCAGTTTCACGCAGGATGTCCAAGTCAAGCTGTATTGTCAATAAAATTGACTTGACAGCTACTGTTCTGGGTGTAAGAGCAGCTGACTAAAGAAAAGTTAGTGGTGCTACGGGTTCTTTGTGATCTACCTCCCACCAGAGGACTGCAGTACTCCCTTGACACGTATATTTTCTCCCCCGATTTTTGCCTTCTCCACAAACTGTATACCTTTTGTAGCTCTAAATATGTTGCCTACTCTAGAAAGGTGATCCCTTCACCTTTCTAGACTATCAGTTCTTCCAGTTTTATTCTTTATAAAGAAATTTGTAATCTGTTACACTTAGGTTTTTCTTTCTATTACTACACTTCAAGCATAAATCCTACTTTCCCTGACTATATCTTAACCTCTTTTTTTTTTTTTTTTTTTTTTTTTGAGACAGAGTTTCGCTCTTGTTACCCAGGCTGGAGTGCAATGGCGCGATCTCAGCTCACCGCAACCTCCGCCTCCTGGGTTCAGGCAATTCTCCTGCCTCAGCCTCCTGAGTAGCTGGGATTACAGGCATGTGCCACCATGCCCAGCTAATTTTTAGTATTTTTAGTAGAGACAGGGTTTCACTATGTTGACCGGGATGGTCTCGATCTCTTGACCTCGTGATCCACCCACCTCGGCCTCCCAAAGTGCTGGGATTACAGGCTTGAGCCACCGCGCCTGGCCATATCTTAACCTCTTATCTCCATAATTGATGGATTCCTAGACTATGTTACTCTAATTTTACCCAAAATTTCTTCCAGCCTGTTTTTACTCTTGCTTTGAAACAGCTGTTTAAAATGTCTCATAATCGGCTTAAGTCTACGTGCTTCTTGTGGTGCTCAATCCAGTTACCTGCCTTCCAGATAATTCCCTCATTGTCCTGACCTCTCCATTCCTCTGATGTTTGAGCCCTATGAGCCACCTTTCCCCATTCTTTGTACATAGTTACCACTTCACTCTTGTTGCCCAAGCTGGAGTGCAGTGGCAACATCTCCAACCGCCACCTCCGGGCTTCAAGCGATTCTCCTGCCTCAGCCTCCTGAGTAGCTGGGACCACAGGTGCGCACCACCACACCCAGCTAATTTTTGTATTTTTGGTAGAGACGGGGTTTCACCATGTTGCCCAGGATGGTCTTGAACTCCTGACTTCAGATGGTACACCTGCCTTGGCCTCCCATAGTTCTGGGATTACAGGTGTGAGCCACCGCACCCGGCCACCATTTTACTATTTTTAGGTACAGTAATATCCAAACTCTTGGACTCAGCTAGAAGAGGGTATTTCCCTTTCCAAAAAAAAAAAAAAAATCCATATTTTGATTCCTAACTGTGGTAGGGGGAATCAAGATAACCTTAGTCACTATGGTATTACCATAATTCTTATGTCTTCAAGGTTGTCCTGTTCAGCTGCATAAAACATCACGTATTCTAGGTATTTTCTACTTCCATTT